GAAACCTCTTATCAATCACTTATGTAAAAGGTGTAAAACCAGAACAATGAATGAAGCACAAAGCAGGCAGCACAGGATGAAAAACTACATTTTAAACAATGTTTTTTTAAAAGTCCAATCACTTCCTAATATAATTTCAGGTATTCTGATGAGCTTTTTGAAGTTACGCTTCATGAGTTAGAGTGAAATCTCATTTCACTGTGAAAATAAGTGGTTTTGATAGCAAATTCTATTACCTTAGTATTTTCCACGTTTTCACTGATTTAATAATCGCCCTAAACCTTCCTCCTCACGGTGACAACTGCCCTGTAACAAGTGAGTGTAAGGCACCCTGAATGCAGACCCTACTCCCAGCTTATGAGTCTGTTGCAGTGAAAGCAATGGCAAAATAAGATTTTATGTTTTCACTGCAAGTGCTGATGGATGAAGGTGTCCCTTGGTGTATCTCTAAGGATGCTGGATCATTGCATTGATTCTTAACTGGCATTAAACTCTCAACATAATGAAAGCTGCAATATTTGGTCCCAGAAATACATGCACACATATGTATGTATATATGTCTACACGCACATACATATAGCACCACAGTATATAAACAGTCCTGTAAATAATACTCTAAATAAATAATGTTAAAAAAACCCCAAACCTGCAAGTAATGTTATCAAGACATTTTGAGAGGTGGCCTTTAAGAAAAAAACAAACCCCTTCTGAACTCTTAATTTAAGACAACTAATTTCAACTCATTCTAAATGAAAAACGCTCTTGCACTAAGAATACAATTCTATATTAATGTAACCCATTCAATACAAATTGACACAGAGCTGTACACTGCATTTTATTTCCTGCTGTTAGGATGCAATGCCTGTGCAGGGGAATGAGGGCACTGTCTTCCTTCAAGTGCTAAGGATGTGATTCCAGAATTCTGCCTGTTTACAGGTAGATGCCTGAGCTGGATTGTAATTTCCCAGAAATGTTTCAAATGAGATTACTGTGGTTTGCTTTTCATTTTCAAATTTATGTCGAATTTTAACTTATGACCAGGATTTAAATATGACTACACGCTGATTATCAAACAATAGGATCCAAAATTTTATTGAAATAGATTTTCTTTCTACAAAAATATAATTACACATAGTACCCTGATTATTTCCTGTAGTTAGTTCAATACACAATTCACTGAAATGTTTTACAACCTTCCAAACAATATCTGTTTAAGTTTAAAATTATTCAAATGGTAACTTGGAGGCACTTCCCATTTAAAAAATAACTTACACTACATTAAGGCTGAAACACACTTAAGTTTGAGATCCATTTTCATAATGTTAAATAGCTCCCATGGACTTATTTAAATACTTGCAATGAATATTGACAGCTTTTCCTTCAGTTCTCCTTTCTCTACAAAACCGATCAGTGTTTTTAGTGGAGTGGAATCCACTGTGGTCCTAACGTTTTTCAAAAATGTCCATATTTTTACTTCTGATGAAATTTGTTATAGGTTTATGCTTTAGTCCCTGAGACAGCCTGCAATGCCTTATCAATTGTTTATAAGAATATATATATTAAACGTTGCCAAGCTGAGATTTTTATAAAAGACACCTTACTCAACAACATTTTATAGAAATCACAAACATAATTGGGTTCTTTATACCTTTGTCTATAAAGACAAAAGAGTTATCTCAACTCTTTCCTAATAGACAGTATTAAGAATTACATGTGTTTGGAATTGCTCTTTTTACCCAGTTCTTTTTTCTGTTGCTGTCAGCCTTGTTTTACAAGCGACACATCAAAATGGGTTTTTTTTTCAGTTTTCAGATGTCTTGATATGTACCTGGAAAAAACCAAAATCTTATTATTTTCTAAAATCTGCAGAAACATTGCCTAAGACATTAGGTTTTCCCTTTTTCCAGCTAAGGCTAGAGTTTAAGGCTGTAGTAATTCTCTTCAGTGACTTCTGCTGAGTATTTTCTACTTATTGGCTCACTTGGGAAACACTTGGGAAAAACTTGAAGAATTAAAAAATCACATGTTCATCTAAAAATGATATAATATATTGACATAATATAATTAATACACAAGATGGTGACTGAAAAAAAGTTTTTTTAATCAAGACCCAAATCCTAGCGACTACACTTGCAAAACTGGAGAATCATCCCATTTGAGCATTTCCAGCACTTTCTGTGACATAAATTTAACTCCTCCCCTGAATAATTAATATAATTAATTATAATTGTGTGAGTTTCCCCACACAAAATTACATTCAAAATTAAACAGAATTCATGATTTTCAATACTATAGGATTGGAACAACCAAAACTCATTTAACAACGAATAATAAAAGTGCTTTTATTAACATGCTTACCTCACTAAGTATTGCCCAGACAGGGGAATCAGAACTGATCGATAAACGAATAGCCTGTATTCTTCCTATGGACTGATTGATACTGCCTTCTGCAATTCCATTTTCAAAAGCTCCTAAATAAAAAAACCAGAACAAGATCCATGCAAACATACATTAGAATGAAATATATTTCCAAGCAAAAGCTCTAAATTACAAGCTATCAATTAAATCCACATATTATTAAATAAAACATTTAGGAAAAGAATCTTTTGGAAAAGGTCAAACAATAACAATGAAAAATAAAGCTTTAAACAAGAAGAAGGATTCATTCCTTCAGTTACACCAACTAGGATCTGGAGAAGAATACAAGAGAATAACCTATAGCTACAAATGTTAAATAAATTTGCATATGCTAGTGGTAACCATATACATGTGGCACACATGGTCATTTTATATCATCTAGAACAGTTTTTCTGAGAAGCATTACTATCTGTAAAAAGATGTGTTGGGAATCATGGACCAATGGTGACACATTTCTTCAATAGTTTAGTGCTTTTTAACCTACCTTGTTAAACTGGCATGAAATCCCTGCAGATAAATAAAAAACACTCATCCCATATATGATATTCATTCCTATAAACTTGCGTGTGCAACTGTGAGCTGACAGCATCTCAGTTTGCATCTCTAATTAGAGCAAAGCAGCCATGAGCAGGTGAGAGAAAAGCCAAAGCATACAAAGTGTAGGAGAGATGAACAGTGGTTCACTGGGAGAAAGGAGTAATTAAGTAGTAGAAGGCACAGAAGTGGCAAGCAAATCAGATCTCCCAGCAGACCATTTTTGTTCACGTAGTGGTGTTTTAGTTTAGGTAACAGTAGAAACCAGGCCTTGGCAAGCATGTGGAGAGTCTGCAGTTTGTTTAAGAGAAGCTGCTCACCACCCTGAGAAAGGAAGAAGAGAAAGCAGGGGTGGGGGCAAAAAGGGGTATCGTGCTTTATTTCAGGTTAGAGCACAAGTTAATGCTGTCATAATCATGATCTTTGTCTTCATCTTTGGCTGCAAAAGCCAAACCAGAATCTATCATCCTGTAGGGTGGGTTGATCCTGGCTGGACAAGGGGTGCCCCCCAAGCCACTGTATCATTTCCCTCCTCAGCTGGGTAGGGGAAAGAAAACACAACTAAAAGCTTGTGGGTTGAAATAAGGACAGGGAGAGATCACTCAGAAACCACTGTCATGGGCAAAACAGACTTGACTTGGGGAAAAAATTGATTTATTACCAATCATATCAGAGCAGAGTAATGAGAAATAAAACCAAATTTTGAAAACACCTTCCCCCAGGCCTGCCCCCTTGGGGTAAACTTTACTCTTGATTTTCTTTACCTCCCTGCCCCCTAGGGTGCAGGGGGACAGGGAGTGGGGGTTGTGGTCAGTTCATCCTGTGTTGTCTCTGCTCCTCCATCCTCCTCAGGGGAGTCAGCATGGCATCCTTCCCATCCTTCTTCATCAGTCTTGGTGTCTCCAGAGTTATTTGCCTCATGTATTCTGACTCCTCTCCCCAGCTCCAATTCCTGTCACTCAGGGTTTTTTTCCCAATCTTAAATATGTTACCCCAGAAGCACTACTTCTATCGCTGATGGACTTGGCCTTGGCCAGTGGATGGTTCATCCTGGAGCCTTCTCCTTCTCACAGAAGCCACCACTGTAGCCCCCCTGCTACCAAAACCTTGCCACACAAATCCAATCCATCCTATTAAGATCTTGCAGGGACTGTAATTATTTTATTTTCTTCTTATTAGATGTCTTGGCTTTTGCTGCTGCTCGTAGGGTTCTTATTTAAACCAAAATAGGATAGTCATTGGTCAAACATCATACGCTACATTACAAAACAGTGCAAAGGGTTTATTTTCCTTATTAATTCATCTTGGAATGTTGAATTTATTAAAGAGTTAATGAAATGCTCCCAAGCAGAAACACTTTTTATGTAAGAACAGAATTTCTGGTTTTGAAGTGACAATAAAAAAATTACCTATTTTTAAATATCCATCATTGGTTGCTGGGTAGTTAAATTTATTTCCAGTATCAACCAGTTCTTCTCTTTGCATTTCCTGTAAAAAACCACCAAACAATAAAACTTTCAGAAATGTTGTCTAGGGTATGACATTTTATGCTGAACATCATCCTTAAAATGAAATACAGTTGGAAACAAGAGACTTACATCAGCTGGCAAAACTTCCACAGTAGTGTTAAACAGTTTGTCACCAGGGTGCTCCATGTTTCCACTTCTGAATAAGTACCTGATGATAAAAGTATATTATTTCCAGGCATTTCATATTTTAGAAAAGTTCGAGGGAAGTAATTCTTTCCAGTTTTGAAGGAATGTTTCAGATACTTTTTCTTTAAATAGCTGTGGGCTATTGAGAACAGAAATATGCATTGGAACTTTAAGATGTGTGACCAAACTATAGTAGAGGCTTTTATTTTAATAGAACAAACATTTAAACCATCTTTCTCAGGAAGCATGAATGCAAATGTTTCCCCTTTTCAGTGCTCAAGCTCCAAAAAATTAACTTCCCAGGTTTTAAATGGCCAAGGAAGATCAGCCCTCTCATCTGTTCCTATCATTTTAAGTCCGAAGTGAGATGAGTTTCTGGAAGGCAAATGGCAGCAAAACCTCCTGTTTCTACCAAACAATACGCTGCATGCCAGGAGAATCCCCCTTTTTTATCAATACTGATCAATTCAGGTGCTTCTAAATAATTTCCAATTAGCCAATGAGCAAGAGCACTGACAAAACAAAAATCCAAGTGAAAATACCTAAAAGATTTAAAAATAAAAACCCTTGTTTGGTTTTAAATTTCTGGCACAAGATTTCTTAGGGTTTTAGATCCAAGAAGAACTAAGAAAATTTAAAGCATCAACCTCTCTCCTCTGGTAGCAAACATTCAAGGCCTAAGACCACCAAATATTATAGGATTAACAACACATTTTCACAGGTTAGCAGTGTGATGGGGCTGGGATGAGCCATTAGACAATGCCATGTGTGAGTTGGTTTCATCCAGGACAGCTTCCCAGTAACAGGAAAATGTAAAAATACAGGCTACCCGAGTTTCCTAAAGCATAAACCAGTTAATTAACCACTGATCACAGAACACCAGTGTTTATTATAACAACTGTCATTTAGTGCAGCTCACTAGGTGGAGATACAGACCTGACATCATACAAACAGCCTTTCTGTTGGCAACTACACAAATAAAGCTTTCACTAACTCTACTGTTGAAATTCATTAGTGAAACACAAAATCCTCTGAGAACTACCATGAGAGAGTGAAAAATATTTACCTGAAGAAATAAAAAGAAAAAAAATTAAGAAGCTCCCCAGTTACCAAGGAAGAAATGTATTTCAGGAGGGGAGTTCAAGAAGAAGAGCAGATAGATAAGTAGCAAATAATGAATTTTTGTTGGTAACAAGGCAAACAGTTGAACACTGATTTTGAACAGACTCAATAATTTCCAAACTGGATATATGTAGGTTTCCGTATTCCGTATCATGTAATACTTACTTTTCAACTTTAAGTGGCTTTAAAAAGGTGAACTTGATGTAGTCACCTGCCACTGGAGCTGAAGCCCAAAAACAGTCTTGTCCTTCGTAAACTTTTTCCAGGGTATATTGCTGGTATATTTTTAGGCTTGTATCCACTTTCGCAAGTGGATTCTTATGGGCTTTATGCAGCACATTTTTTCCAAAATCTTTATCCTGTTGGATATAAAGAAATTTAATTTCACTCACACAATGAAAAAAAGTGCACTGATATCTGGTATAACTATAGGAAGGTATTCCAGAAAATAATTAACTCAGTGTCAAAATATTATACAATATGTTTTTAATGGTTTTTAATGTTCTACTCTTGATTTTTTCTATCTCCTTGCCCCTTGGGGTGCAGGGGGACAGGGAATGGGGGTCGTGGTCAATATTTCAGTGCAGTCACTGGGACTCAACATTACAGTTTGTAGACAGAGCTGTACTGATTACTCCTTAGTTACTAACATTTAAAAATAAACTTCTCCACAGTAGGCTATCTCCTAGTTGTCTACTGCCAGAACATGTGACATTGGTCTCTGCTAAAGGTTACATGAATCTCTAGTCTGATCAAATAGAGAAATTCAAATGATCTTGTGACCAGTCTAAGTGGCACCATCAGGAGACTCCTGAAGTCTGGTGTACCATTGTTCTTGTCCTTATCAGATATGGGGTTTGCCCTCCGAATTCTCCCTAGAAATCTATGGCCATCACATTAGGGACACCCCTGTCCTACCAGTACACCTTCTTAATATCCCTCATATTGGGAATGTGAACTGCTCAGCCAAAACAAATCATCGCAGCTGTCTGTGTGTTGCGTGGAGCGGAGCACGTGTAACCTTGTGTTGGGAAGAGGGTTCCTACATGCCATTAAATGCTGCTGTGACTGGTGCCATTGTTCAGATTAGAGATTCAAAACTGTTTGTGCAAAAGCAGTGTGCCCCAGCTGCAGCTTAGATGCCAGATCACTATTTTCCACCAAATCTGTAAAACAACATAACTGAATATGGATATGCCTTCCAGTGCCAAATATGTGACTCTTGAAACTGATTTGAGAAACAAAGTCAGAACACAAGCATGTAATTTAGAAACATGGCATTAATTTGTTACTCTTACTTTCAGATTCTGTATCTTCCCAGCCAATGATGAATAAATTCCCATATGCTGAAAGAGAGATGGTTTAGCACGGATACGCAACTTTGATTTTTCCTGTTCACAGTGAGTCTGGAAAGAAAGTAAAAGGGAGAGACAAACCACGTTCCATAAGGCAATTTCACCTTGTAGTTGAGGGTATAGGTCCAGGGTTTTTATTCAATATTTAAATTAACCATCACTTTACATCAAATACACTGGTTTTAGACCAAAACTCATAATTCCACTTAGGGTGTTATGTGGATTTGAAGGCTCAATCACCAGTTATTCAGGGATTTCTGCACTGTGTACCATGGATCACATCTCAGAGTGACAAAAATGGACCTCAAATCTGAAACCAATTAATTTTTTTAACTGTTTCTGGCAAATTTTATTTCAACTCTTAGCATATCACTGTAATTAAACTATTTTGATCAAAACTGACCTTCTTGAGATATATTCTGATTATACTTCAATCTTTATCATTTTGGCTCTTTCTGCTATGTTTGAGAGGCTTAGAATATACTATAAGTCATGGATCTTTTATCATATAATTAGATAAAGCCCTTAAATGCTGTATTTCAAACACAATTCTCCAGTTTACTACACTTGTGACAATACATATACCTTGTGACAATACAATACACATATTACAAATAACTGTAATTGGAACTAATTTCTGAGTTTCTTGATTTTTGAAGGATAGCAAATTACTTCTTTAAATGCAATTTTTTTTAAGTATCTGTAGAGCATCATAGTTTGATGCAATGAAGCAAACATGCCACAATAATTAATGAGACCACAAAGCATAATAGTGTGGAACACAGCAAAGAGCTAAAATGAGACTCCCTGGTTTCTATTCTCATTTCTGCCACAGAATTACTGTATGAATTTGGAAGATCATTTAACTTCTCTGTATCCCAGGTCTCACACCTTAAAATTTGAGAGGATAATGTGTTTACCTCTTCAATTAAGTGCTTTCAGTTCTATTAAAAAAAAAAAAAGTTACATAAACTATATCAATGCCTTCTAAAGCTAAAAGTGATAAAGTCTTCACTCAGCTGGCTTAAATATCAAAACTTATGGGGGATTTATGATTTCCACAGAAGTACTAAGTAAAAATTCAAAACCCCCTGGAAAGCAATAACTAAGTATTTTTATGTTTGTCCAGCAGATGTTCAGCAAAACAATGTAAAAACACAGCACATGCAAATTGGTTTATTGGCAGCTCCTTCTTTGAAAAGCACGCTATACTTTTGCTAGAGAAAAAAATCATTATAAGAAAATAAATCTGCAATCTTTCTACAGACAGGGTTTGCAGTTCATCCCTTATAATAATGTAGTCTCTACCATGTCTCCTTTTATGCTATAGCAGCACTACTAAAAGAGTGACAGCTGAGAATAATCAGCATAGGGCTGGTGCGGTCATTTCTGCAGAAGCTGAGATAAGGTTCCTCCTTGAATCAGGACTTCCACCCTTGCAGGCTGTTAGTCCCCACTGCATGTGATAGACACACACCACTGCATGTGATCACACAACCACAGAATGGTTTGGGTTCAAAGGGACAGTTAAAAACCATCTGGTTCTGACCCCCCTGACGTGGGCAAGGACACCTTCCACCAGACCAGGTTGCTCAGAGCCCCCTCCAGCCTGGTCAGGAACATTAGATCTGGCATCCACTGCTTCTCTGGGCAATCTGAGCCAGTGACTCATCACCTTCACCATAAGAAATGTTTTCCTTATATCCCACCTAAACACATCTTCTTTCAGTTTAAGACTGTTGCCCCTTGTCCTGTCACAACAGGCCCTGCTAAAAACACTTCTCCCTTTTTCTTAGAATCCCCCTTTAGGTACTGGAAGATGCTGTAAGGTCTCCCCTGGAGCCTTCTCTTCTTCAGGCAGAACAGCCCTGACTCTCTCAGCCTGTCTTCACAGGAGAGGTGCTCCAGCACCCTGATCATTTTTGTGGCCTCCTCTACATCTGCTCTAACAGATCCATGGCTTTTTTTGTGCTGGGGACCCCAGAGGTGGATGATGATTCACAGGAGGTAAACATGAAGTTTCTGAACCCCGCAGAGGTCTGATGGTTCTGATCACCACAAACTGTCTTTTCCAACTCGGTGAGTAGATGTAGCTGAACCTTGATATGTTAGTAGGTCAGTCCAGGCTGAAAACCTGGACAAGCTGGACAAGTGGGCCACCAGGAATCTCATGGGTGCTGCACATGGGTCAGGGCAACCCCTGATATCGAAACAGGCTGGGGGATGAACAGATCAAGAGCAGCCCTGCTGAGGACTTGGGGGTGCTGGTGGGTGAGAGGCTGGACATGAGCCCTCAGTGTTCTGCTCCCCTTAATCTCCTGCTCTGCATAACTCCTATCTGTCTCTTCTTGCTTCCTTATCAACACGACGTAACACATGCAAGTGCCTGCAGTAGGGACTGGCTGCACTCATTAAAACTCCTGAACCTTAAAAACCAAGAAGGAGCAGAAATTCCTTGGTCAGTCCTACATGGCACAGCCTGTTATGTAAGAAGACTATGAGTAGTGACCAGCACCAAAAACTAGCCCCAACTATTATTGGGCTTACCCATAGTGCTAGAAATGGCACAACATAACTATTTCTTTCATTTTCAGTAAAAAAAGCATCATTTAGTTCCTTCAATCTACATGTTTTCCTGCCTTTTTTTTTTTTTCAGGAAAACAGTCAATTTTATTCCCAGGTAGCAAAATATTTAAAGCAAAACACTTAAATTCTGCTTCCTGAAAGAAAGGAATCGATAGGTAAATTTCAGAACAACTGTGGCAGTAACATTGTATGCTTTATGGACTTTCATATTAGAAGGTCAGCAGAAGGTTACCAGAAACCCATAGGTTTACATATTAATATTTTTCTTCCATGCTGCAGGGTTGCCTACGTGACCAGCTGCAGGCAGATGTGAGCTTGTGCTTTCCATGTTCTGAGCTGATAGAGGCAGCAAGACAATTCTGGTGTGAAAATGTGAATTTCTGAGAGTCAGACCTCCCGATATGGCCAAATGTGCTCAAACACTGTGCCACTCTGTGCAGATCCACAGCAGTTTTCCCCACGAATTCCAAAGTATATCAGATTTGAGAGATTTATATTCTGCTTATTGAAATTAAATTACTTTGCCTTTCCTGTTTGAAATATTACTTATGTTCATAAACTCATAGACATACTTACTGCATCCTTTTCTGGATTGCACACTTTAACCCAGAGCAGGTGGTCTATAAGCCAGTCTATGGGCTTATCTTTATAAAACATGAGAAAAAATTCCACTATGAGTGGCAAGTCTTCTGATTTAAGCAATTTTCCTGAAAGCAAGACAAAAAGTTGCATGTTCAGATATTTTTATTGCTATGCAAAAATCACCAGCTTTATATTTAAATGTAACTTATTTAAATAAATATTTAAGCATCACCAGCCTTAAACACCTGAACGTAATTCTGATATTTAGTGAAAATTTCACATAGTGTCCAGCTTTGGAGAGCTCTTGATCCTCCAGCTCTTTGAGATTTTGCAAAGATGTCCATCCCATGCCTAGAGATATTCTTACACAGTCAACCAGTTGACTAATAATGTGTGTAATTATATCCTATTTCCAAACACAAACTTGCCAGTCACCTGTAGCAGAGTGTCAGATGCAAACAGAGTCTTAATAATTCCTAAAAATACCAGACATGCCATTTCAGTGGCAATATTATACCAAAGATCTTCAAATTAAGACAGATATGAAAAAAACATTGCTTGATTCTTGAAGAATGCACATTAAAGGGGCACACAGTGCCCTGGGATGGAACAATTGCCTTCTTATGGGAACCCAACTTTGGATCCTATGCTGAGGAGACTGTATGGAAAGGACGATTTTAAAGAGCACAAAAAGTAAAAGACTTCCAGTGGGACCTTCCTCAAAGAACCAAGGAAGTTTTGATACATAAGTCCTTCCATTCTTTGAAATGTAATTCTGAGTGAGACCTTTTTGACCTACACAGCTCCAAATCCAGTTGACCCTGCTGAGATCTTAGTACTTACCAATAAACCCAAGCTGTGAAAACTCAAGAATCATCCAGTCTTGGGACTGTTGAGCAGCAAAGCTTTTTATACTTGCAATATAATCAGGTTTGGCTATAATATCATCTTCGAGCTGAGGGAAAAAAAAAGAATGGCAACAGAGAAAAAGAGAAGGCAAGCAGTGATTTTATTGTTTGCAGATGGGGTACTTATGTTGCCACATTCAGGTGTGGACTGCTGTACTGTGTGTACTGAAACTTTGCCAAACTACAGTGGATTGCTATTTAACCTCTACATATATATATGTTTTAGTATCATTCATTAAATATTTGTCTACAGGAGTGACCATAACACCCTGGGTGCTTGTCCCTTTTCTGAGAAAGGAGGACTCCCTACCTTAAAGAGATCTCACTTAAAAGAAAATATTAAGCAAAAAGATAAGAAGTTAAGGAAGACAACAATAAACAGTTTGTACTGAAGTTGTATAAGCACTGATAGGCAACACCAGCTAACTGTTTGAAAAGAGTCTTATGCAGATGATTAAGGGCTCTGGCAGCCTGGGCAGACTTTGTCATTCATGAAAGGTGACTGAGAAGAACTGTGGATGACTACTGAGATGCCAGTAGAAAGCAAGCTGTCCCAGGGAATGCTGGTAATGAAAGAAGGGATGTGCTGCGTGACTCACACTGAAGGACAGGAATACATAGAGCTTCTGAAGTGTTGTAAAGGCTGACAGAGAATGCAGCAGTGGAGCCAGCTAAAGGGTATTTGGAAAAGGAGATGACATCCATGAAGGAAATGGGAAAGGCCTTGGCTGCATTATTGCCTGGCTTTCAGAGAAGAACAGGGCACCTAAAAACCAGAAGCTGTTCCTGATACTAAAAAGCTTGAGGATAATGAATCCAAACAAGGACGTTGGAGGCAATGACACAAAGGAAATAAAGGTATTTGAGAAATAGTTAAGGAGCAAGTAATTCACAGTTTGAATTCAGTATGGGTGTCAAAACACAGGAAGAGGAGGCTGAGTCTTCAGGAGAATATTGTTGGGGTGTAGTGTAATCATACAGTAATTTGACCTAACTGCTGTACTTCACTGGCCCTTACACGTCTCGTGGTGCTAGAATCTGCTTCCGAAAGATAAATAGCTAGAAAATGAATGCTATGAGGGTAAAAAAAAAAAAAGGCACAGTTTCCTGCTGGTTTATGTCTTCAACTGACTCAGCACAGAGTCATCATCAAGAGCTTGAGAGAGCAGCCCCACAGCTTTTAGCTGAATTTAGCTATCACTACAAGTGAAGGACTGGCTGGGAAGAAATGTGTTGTCAGTGAAGCCAGGAGGAAGCAGAATGAGGTCAGAAAGACAAGATTTGACCTTGTCAGCTTTTGCTGATGGTAAAGTACAAAAAAACCCAGATAGACAGAGACAAACTGATCAAGATGAATGCTTCTTAATGGATTCTGAGATGCGGGGACTGAGTTGAGTTGACAGCTATGCAGAAGAGAACAACAACAAAAACCCCAAACATCAACTTACAAGAAATCTTGCATAAAATTAAATGAACTTAGAGGAGCGGGATGTAAAAGGAGAAAGAGTAAGGTTAGAGAATCCTTAAAGAGAAATTGAGGGGCACCAAAAAAGGATCAATACCAGAGAGGAGTAGCTCAAAAACCTAGGGAGATCACCATATCAAGAAACACCATAAGAAAGCGTACGAGAGCAGTAAAAAATAAAAATACAGAGTCTGTGAATGTGGTTATGAACTGAAGGTAGTTTTGCAAAGTGATAAGTCAGGCTTTCCTGAAGCATGGGCTTTCCTGAAGCTGGTAGTGAGTATTAGAGAATGTAGTTTCATATTCTGCATAGCACAGGCCACCAAGTTGTTTATATAACCCTGTACTGAGCCCTGGAATTTGTCTTCAACTAAAGCACATCTTGGAGAACACGTGCCACTGCTTAGATATTCCAGTGCCAGTTCTTTTTCAGTACGTGATAATCGTAATTATCCTGAACGTTTAATACTTTGTATCCAAATTCTAATTTGAATTTTTCTGCCTTCAGCTTATAGCCACTTGTTTTTCATACGCTCTTATCTACCAAAGGAGGTTATGGAGTGGTTGCACACAGCTGGAGCAGGAGGCTTAGGATATGAACGGTCTAGTCCATTTGCCCCATTGCCATGGGAAGGTCAGCAAAACACACGATGGCAGCTAATTTCCTTTCACTCATCAGTAATTTTGGGTGAAAAGAGATACAGGCACTATAGCAAGGCTATGAAAATTTTCAAGATGATAGACAATAAATTTGTTTTTCTTATGCTAAGAGAAGTATAAATGAAGTAGTAACAAAAAAAGTCAAAGCATTCAAAGTAGGTATCAGAGAGGAAAGTGTCTTCCTTTCTAAGTTACATTAAGGTCTTGTTATATTTTTGAGACACTGAAAATGACTATGTAGAGACTGAGAAGCTCCTTTTAGGAGCTCTGCCAAATAACAGGTTTGACCTAGAGTCTAGTGTCTGGAGCAGGAGAAGATCCAGGAAAACTAAGAACCAAGCGAAATGCTCTTCTGAGCTTTCTTGACATTAATGAGCTATGCGAAAATTCTATGGATCTGTTCCATTATTGAACAGCTCTGATAAATTTTGGACTCTCTAGTAGTGATCATGATCTTTATGGAGTGCAAATTTAGCAAAATTTAGAATGATAGCTAAAGCTAAGCCTGAATGCAGAAATTAGGATCTGTACCAACTTCTAGTTTAACCAGTAATTAACCAGTAATTCCAGTATCACTATACTAGTGTGTTTCCCTACCTGAGGGATTCTGGTTTGTTGGGATCTGGGCTACAACCTGGACCTACCACCACAATTTTGCCTTGCTGCACTAAGTAAAGAGATATTAAACTCTGACTTTCTTAACCTAATCAAATAAGGGCTTCATGCTTCATTTACCTTGCTATTCAACCTCACAAATGACAAGAAGGTACAGATGGATTTAATCAAATAGTACCTGGCCACAAGATGAACATAAACACAGAAATACGCAGATGCTTGTAAAGAGTCACAGGTAAAACACACAGAAAATAACAACAGACTTCTGATTTTATTGAGGCTTTTGAAACAAATTAAAATTGCCAAAGCTACTACACAGTACAGATGTATTGCAGCTATTTAATGATAATATAGACATACCTGTAAATACAATGTTCCCTTAGGTTGGGCATATAGCATTAAAAAGCTATAATCCAAATTCTGTTTAGTTCTCCACCTAAACATAAGCAGCAAATTCTGATAAGTTTTTTTGGGAGGGTTGCAAGAGCTATTTCTATAATAAAAGCATTTCTAGTGCTCTGTGGTATTTTTTCTCTACAGTGAAATTGTAAGTTTGAGTATTCTAACCCATAGTTAAGTGCAAAAACATTCCTCTACAATCAGTGTAAGCATTTATAAATAATTTGACTTTCCTATAAATGTTAACATTAACTAAGCAAAAAAATTTTGATCTCTATCAATGGAGCCTGAAACAAAATGTATAACAAATTTATTCATGTCAATTGCCTTAAAGGATTCTACTCGTTATATTATGAACAGTAAACACATATGGATTATTCTAAAATGAAAAACAAAGTGCTTTTACCTATGAACGGCACAAAAGCAGGTTGATAAACTTAATTTTCAGGTTTAAATATAAATAGAGACTTTGGACAGTCTCTCATTTTACCAGAGGATGAAGTTGATGTTTGACAATAAATGCTGAAAGATTAGAGAGTAATTTATCCGTATTTAATTAACATAAAAGTGTATCTAATTTTAATCATATCTGAAACTTAAGTATGTAAACTTGTTTATGCTCTGAAACACATAAGGTTTATCTATAAAGCCAAAACACAAGCATACATGCACTTGCTGATTTCCTCTAGCCTAAACTCTCAGTACTGCAGGTCTCTGCTTCTTTGTTGGGAGAAAAAAAAAAAAAAAAAAAAAAAGCTTCTGCTAAATTATTTATTGATGATTGAAAGAAAATAACTTTCCTCCAATCATTTTTTTTCTTTTTTTTTTTTTTTTAATAATCTCTGCCTCGGTGAATTTGGGGCATGTGAGTGAATGAAATCACCAGTTAGGATGCATTAACAGTAGATAAAACGTGTATGATCACCAAAAGTTAGGCCACTAATTAAACCCACAGTAGTTGTCAGTAGTTAGCTAAGGGGCCACAGGGGTTTCCTTTGAGTGTTCACAGAGCCTCTCCCTTATGTGTCACATTAAAGATTTTCCTATTTTGTTTCCTTTATGCTCAGATCATATAGCCTACTGCCTTTTGGCATTATCCATGTGGTTTAAAACCCGTGGGATGCCCGGAGTCAAGACCCAAAGGAGAAGCCTTGGCTTTCACCCTGAAGCTGATGTGCAGCATAGCTTTTCTCAAGATCTCCTTGTGTAACTTTTTTTTTTTTAAAGTTACAGTTGAGATCCACTAGCTTTGAAGCATAAAAGCATTATCAGCTCAACCAAGTTGACTTTTGCAGAATTATTCATTTTTTATTCTAAGAAAAAGTTCTTAGGTTTTATATAGCCATCTTACCTTACTCTGTCCTCAGAATCCCCAAGTGTTTTTTTCAGGTTGGAAAGATCTGGATAGTAAGAAGCAGGAGGAGAAATAACCTCTAGGACTCCAGACTGGATTTCTCTGGGGAAGCTGTGAGAAGAATTTTTGTGAGACCCCATTCCTCCAAAAGACCTCTGAGTGCAACAATAGACAGCAGCTCCCCAGAATTAGGTCTGCTTCCACACAAGTGGAATTCACAACTCCAGCAAAGAAGCTAAGTCACACAGACTGCAAATTTGGAACCAACCATTTGGTCTCTGACCACCATCAGAACAGACAGGTCAGTAACTCAAAGTCTCAGAAAACACTGAAGAGAAGTGTGTCTCAAAAATCCTGCCCCTCCTGCCTCCATAGATGCTTACTAACAATCCTGAGATGATTGCCAAAATGCAGCAGAAATTCACAACTAAATCCACCATTTAGAATGACACATGACTGTTCCTCCTTGTGTGAGAGCTCCAAGTTCCCTTACCCTTGCTCCAATTATAATTGCACATCCTAGCCAAAATTACACTGTCCAGAGCAGGAGTTTGGGCTGGGGAGTCTGGATCCAGTCTCTGCTCCAAGGATTAAATTTTCCCTTTAAAAAGTCATTGAAAAAAATGCATAATCTACTTTAAGAGTCAAACCTGAAAGTCAAATCTCCCCCTCCTCCAGAAAAAAACCCAACAAACAAACACCAAGCAAAATCAACCCCAACAAACAAACCGACTCCAACCCAACAAAGGATCACTGAAATAAAGAGCTTTCAGAATGCAGTTTCACATTTCCTATGATTAATGAAAAAAAACAACACTAAAAATTAGGCACATCAGAGTACAAGCATTATGGAAAATAAAAAAATCTCTTACAGTGTAACTCGGGCAAATCATTTACACTGCAAGAATTTTTTCAAAAGCCATGAAGAAATCATAAAAATTATCTATGTGCCTAAACTGCTGTAAGTATTGTACCTTAGCAGTGCTCAACAGAGCCAAGGAGAAGTGCCTCTTACCCTTGTCCTTGCTGCAGTATTCCCAGCTGAGATAAACCCTCTGGAGGCAAGAAGCCATGGCTATTCCTTAAACAACAGGCTCAGCACAAGGAGTCTTCTGGGGGAAACCTACACCCTAAATACAGTGTGGGAAACCATGGAGTGCAGCAGGACTTGCAGAAAAGCCTCAAAAGCGAAGGAAAAGGGCAACTCCTCCAGGGATCTTGTTCAATTTTTTTTTTTTTTTTCTGTTGTTGCTTGTTTTGTGTGGGTGTCCATCTCTTTTCACAAGTAACAGGACAAGAAAAAATGGCCTCGAGTTGTAACAGGGTAGGTTTAGATTGGGTCTTAGGAAAAATTTCTTTATCAAAAGGGTTATCAAGCACTGAAACAGACTGCCCAGGGAAGTGGTTGAGTCACCATCCCTGGAGGTACTTAAAAGACATGTAGATGTGGCACTTGGGAACATGGTTTAATGGTGGGTTTGGCAGTGCTGGGTTAATGGCTGGACTTGATTTTAAAAGTCTCTTCCAAACTAAATTATTCTATAATTCTAATAAAATATTAATACAAAGATTGAGAGCTCTCTTGTAGGCATTTCAAAGGAGTGAGGGGAAAGTTTGCTTCGCTTCAAATACTGGCGGGTTCTGTCAGAGTAACCAATTCACCAATAAGCTTGTGCATCAAAGAAAGTGGCAACACCAGTACTGCAGCACAGCGCAGATTTCAACTCCTGCTTCTTTCAGTCCACTGCCCTTCAGGGCCTTTAGCCTTATCTGTTTTGTGACTGTTAGCCACACTACACTATTTCTTAAAAAGCAGCACTTTTAAAGACCAAAATCTACCAATGAGTGTACTTTTTTTTTCCCCCAACATTTTAATTTAGTAGTTCCTCTGAAGTTGCTCTGCAGCTTTTAACGCGCACGAGATGCTGTAAACATTTAAGGGGGGGGGAAGATAAGAGCAAGTAGAACGGCAGTGGGAATAAAGCTTCTATTTCATAGCTCTTACTTTAATTTGGCATGGCAAAGAATACCCATCTCATGTTGCCCATCATATAATAGTATGTAAGATTATAAAGGTAATCCATTTGCTGCCCAAAGAAAAGTAGTCAAATAAGGAAAAAAAGACACTTGGAAAACATGTAGATGTGGCACTTGTGGATGTATTTTAGTGGTGGCAGTGCTGGGCTAGCGGTTAAACTCAACCGATCTTACAGGCCTTTTCCAGCCTAAACAATTCTATGGTTCTGTGACAGACATCAGAATACATTTCAGGCTTGTGTAGTCAGTGGGGATATGCAGCCTCAGGTGTGTGAATTGTATCATCAATTTTGTGGAGAAAAGACTTAGGCTCAGGTAAATACTTGTCAGAGATTTAAGCTGACACCTTGACTGGTTAGTTAAAGGATATTTATGAAATGAGAAATGGAAAATCAACTGATATACATTCTTCTGTTCTGAAGTTTGTGTTTCACAGTGCGTTATGGCACACATACCAAGAGTGCACCTTTGCCTCATTACTTAGCAGTTCTATTTCAGCTGAAATGCTCTAATTCTTTCAATAATTTTTCTTTCAAAAAAAATCTCACTTGCTGTTGGGTGTTACACTCTATAGGACTTACCTGGTTTTAACACTTTCTGCAACACTGTTAACATACTCCGCATTCACCTAAAGAAAAGAAGGGTGGGTTTCATTTCAAGTCACCTATTTTTGAATTTAACAACCTTTTGTAGGGAATATTTATATGCAAACACTTCATTTTTATTCTCTATTTCTTTTCCTTCCAAACAAACATGGTATGTTACAATAGAATTTCTACTAAAGGACAGTTTGGGCTTTTCAAGCCAATTGAACTTCCAATGTATTTGAATGCAAAAGTGAAGCACCTCCAGGTGTGGTTTCTGCATTTTGTTTTTCACTGCTCTTGCAGGAGGCCAGGCCATTTTCTGCATAAAAATCTGTTCTATAGCTTTCAGTTATGCCAGAAAAGCACAGTCACAGAAATGTCAGAGGAGAAATATAAAAAGAGCTACTTCAGGTTAATCATCCAAAAATCACAAAAGACACCTGATGCTGTTGAGAAAAATCACCTAAGCAAAATATTCTAAAGCTAGCAGTACTTAAATTTTTTATTTTGTTTCTCCCTAATATAACAAACTTAGGGCCCTTTGTCTGGAAATTTTGAGGACATACTTATTTGTTACCCGCTGTTTCCTAGAGGTAACAGTTTTGATGTGCAAAACACATCTGCTAGCTACATTAAAGAATCTAAAGTTTTACAGATGTGATTTCCAAAGCAACACAATATGTGTCTTAGCAGTTCCGATTTTTTTTTTTAAATACACAAATAATTGTTACCAGTTATATATTAAATTTCTAGTAAGTAAAAAATAGGTAAAGAGGTAAATAAAGAGCTGCAATAAGAAAAAAAAAACACCAGAACTTACAACTCATTTTCAGTCAATAAGTTACTATGACTCAACCCATGATGTAAACATTTAACTTGATCTTTTGAGACTTTTTGGGGAAAAGGAAGGTGTAAATTCACCTGCCATCCTCTCATAATAAATGTTCTTATCAGCACAATCAAGCTGCTCCAATTTACTGCATGGTTGAAAAATGGAAGCAGTGAGAATGTGACTTTGGGGAAGGGATAAAGGGGAGAATAATTCCTACAAGGACAGTTTAATCCTAAATTGGCTGATGTGGACTATATTACTACAATCAGACCTGATGCTTGTTTAAAGTGTCACATTAGGACTCTCCACTATTCAGAATTTAACACTTAAAAACTCACAGAACCCTCTGAAGCCCTGTAACAAAATGTTTATCTGAACTGCAGCTTGGCAAAGCTCATCATTGCCAAAGCTCGTCACTGGGAAATACCAACTATAAAATAAGTTCAGCTCCTGAAAACTACGCTCATGGGGAACTACAGCCAGTAAAATTTGTCCTATATACTTATCATTGTGATCAAAACAGAAAAGTGGAAGTCATGACATAACTTACTAAAGTGAACTATGTTCTGTTTGACAATATGACAACTGCAAAAGCGGTGACTGAACTAAAAAAAAGCAAACTGTAACTGCTAATGAATACATGTATGAATTTAATGTTGTTCATGGAAGGATAAAGAAATACAAAGAAAAAATATGAAGTCTGAATAACTGCACAGTCATTTACCTGCAAGAACCTATCACTAACTAATTCCTTTCCTGTAGTTTTTTCTAATGTGATCAAGACATGTTGGAATAAGAAAAAAATACATTTAGCCCTAATATTTTACCTTGAGCCCTGTTTACTTTCCCAAACATGGAACTGTTCAAGTCTCTGAACAGTCTTCTTTGCCACATAAAATGTCAAAACGCATGCAGAAGGCTCCAACATGACCTTTGGAAGATATATGATACTAAACTAGAAGATAAATAATCTAAACATTTTTTAGACAGGTTAAGTTCCCTTTCTTAAAGTTCTATAGAACTTTTCTGTGGACAATTTACAATTCATTCTGAAAGCAGAATACCTTATTTTCAGAAATAAATAATGAGTTCATATGGTTTTATTGAAAAATCTGACTCAACAACTGTTTCCATAAATGTAATGTGGCTTGTTACCCTTCGATCATCTGAGTTAACAGGGTTTTTTCCACATATGAACACTAAGGCACCAGCTGCTCACCATCTCCTCCAGGCCTGAAGAAACCTCTCCCAAAGGCCTATTGAACAGTATTTTACAGCCTCTCCTGCATTACTACACTAAGACATAAATCTCCATATTGCCTTGCTATCAGCACACTGCACCTTTCCATGCAAACTTACCTCTGCTACAAAGATGATTATTACACAGTCCTCCTTTTGCTCTTCAGAAAGTCCATGCAGCAGGGAATGCAGTGTATTAATCAGGTAATTTTTCTTTTCCCTTTTCACAGTAGGAATACCCATCACCAGTGAGACTGCAAGGAGAGAAGGCCTCAAGCCATGTAATTTTAAGTAAAGGAAATTGAAATCACATTTTAATTTTGATGTGACCATGACATTTGGTGACAGTCAGTATTCCCTTAGCACTGTGACAGCATTTGCTTTATTACCTGGAGGGAGAGACACCTCCAGCTAAGTTTAGGTTAGACACCCCCATGTGCATGTTATAAGCACCAGGTTTACATTGTGTAGACTATCAACATTTTAGAACTTGGGGATACTACTAACTCTGGCAAACACATAGGGGCCTGCTACTGAGTTTCAAAAGTGAGTATTGCAAAATAACTGGTAACTCTTGCTTTGGAGTTGGAGATCTAAGTGGCAAGGGTTAAATCAAAACTGTTCTAGTGAGCAGGCTCTCACAGGAAGTGAATACTGTGTATGTATCTCAGAAGGAATCAAATTCAAACATCTTGCTGAGCAGTTTGATTGATATGCATCAATGGCTTTCATAGAATCAGTACTAAGAAGAAAGAACTTAGATATTGTTATTAAGAGCTGAAATTATCTCTGGCAAAGGTTCCACTAGCACCAAACCTATGCTGTATTACATCAGACTGCATGCAGGATGCATCTGCAGGATACATACAGGCATTACCTAAATCAGTGGCAAAACATAGCTCAGTAAACCTATGGAACCTTAGTACTTGCAGATGATTTCTATTCACCAAAACCTGAGGAGGCTGGTAAGGAAGCAGCAGATTTTAAAAGAATGGAGTAGGTGCAACTAGCGATATGCACCAGACTTTAATATCCATGCCAGAGTGTCAGCTCAAAAATGCCAAAGTTCCAGTGTTCCTTCCCAGCATATATCCTGCTAAACCACTGGGGTTTTACACACTGGAGGTCAACCTGTCCTTATTAAACTGCAGTCTTGCTATTGTGATTTTCATGTACAAATAAAAAAAAAATTAAACACGGAGCATTCTTTTACTAGTGACACTGATCTATGGGCACTTGGGTGAGAACTACAACACAGGATCACATTGATACAGCTAATTGTTGTACACCTACTAATGAGAAGTCTGTAGAAAGTTATCCATTGTCATAGGCATGGCCAAGGGTTTGGGGTTTTTTAGTTAAATCAAAAGTGCTGCCAAGTGTTTCTTTATTTAAAATCACCCTAGAGAAAAGTCAAAATTTCAACAAAATACAAAACTCAGCAAAATGGTTGACTAGTTCCTTCTTTGCTTACTATTCTGAATACTCCTTTTACCTGCGACATGACCGTTAAGAGAAGATGTAACTCTATAACTTGTATTGTAGTTCAGTGAAATTCATTATGATTTCTGCAGGTGTCAGCTGATTTCTCATGTGGATGAAAAATTACACTGAAGATATCTTAACGTCCTTTAAATTGTCACATCATCTTTCCATTTGCTTCTTACACTGGCAAACTGACTGCATTAAAAATTCACCTTGGCTTCTTCATTCTTACTAATTTTGTGGGGGAAAAATGTCAGCTAATGCATCTTAGCCATAAGAACATATGATCAAAACAAAAAATAATATTGTTTTTCAATTATGAGTGTTTTTCTTGAAATTTTAAAAGCTTTTCATAATACTCTGAGGTAAAGACTTTAAATAGGGGTGAGTACTTTTGCAATCCCCATTAAAATTAATTCAGATTGGCAACATTATAAAGTTAAGGGAGAAGAGCCACTCCAAACTTTTGAGTATGCTTCATTGCTAGAATTTAGTATAAAATACAGACACGTAGAAAATATATGCCAAACCAAATTTCCCACCTCCAGTTCTCTGCTGCCCAAAAATAACATTTGGGAAAATTCCATCTTCATATTCTCGAAGGTGAGGTAGATAGTAGTGCACGTTTGTGAGATGCATGGGGAGTTTTCTTGGGAGGTTTAACACGTTCAACTTCGTATCATCTTAGAAAAAAAAAAAAAAAAACAACAAACCACACATACACACAAAGTAAAAATTCAGCAGTGAAGCCTTTTTTTTTTTCCCCAACTGTTTTGCTCAACTGAGCACTGGCAGATTACCACACACAAGGTTATTAAATCAGAACTATTCCTCAGAAGTGATTTTATGTCATATATATTACACTATATTAAACTGAGAATTGCCCAGTACAATTTCCTGCCACCCAGGTGATGCTCCAGAACTCCAAGCTTGAATAACCTGGGAACTCAGTACACAATTCCTTATGACTAAACACTTGCAGGACTGAGCCACCTTACAACACAATTAGCAGTAATTTTAAAGGCAGCAGTAAAAAAAACTGTCTTGTTTTTGTTTTACATTGTTGGCAAGCAATTTTTTAAACTAAAAGAAACACAGATTCTGTATAATAATTTCCTTAATTACTTAATAAATTTAAATGCTTTCCCTAAAATATAACACATGGTGATTCTCAAGGCTCAAAGAGAAGTTCTCAGGTTCTAAAAAGTCCTATGGCAAAAAGAAACCCTATCCAGGCCTTCAGAAAGTATTCAAGAAAGCAAAGACTGTAGTAGGTAAGAGAAATCTTTTTTCTTTACTGGTTTAAAATAAAGATGAAAGCAACAGAAGGTCTATTGACTTGGATGGAAAATTACTTTTCCTAAAAAATATATCTAAGATAATTCCCAAAATTTACCACCCTTCAAACTGACATACAAGTCTCACAAACAACCATCAGCCTTATTCACTCAGCTTAGATCAACAAAGACAGAGCCTTACTGAATGGGCAATATTTTAAGTTTTTCAAATTCCAAGAGGTATTCCCACTGAAAATTAGGACTCAGAGACTCCCAACCCTACAAAAAACAGTTTATAAAAATCCCAAACAACCACATATATATATATATGTATATATGTATTTATAATGTCCAGACGTTTGTGTATGAGAGACCCACAACTCCTCTCACTCTGTTTTACCATTAAATATACAGGAGTTTTGCTGCTTAGAAACCTTTTCATTCTCGTTGTACAATAAAATTTGGCTGGAATGAGAAGCAGAAGGGCAAGTAAAAACAAAAGGAAAATTATTCAGTGATTTTAAGAAACTTCTGCTTTAAATCCTGTGAACTCACAGCTGTAATACTTTCAGCTGGCTCCAATGTGAATGAAGAGGGAAGGGGAACTTGAGCTCTCCTCTCCTGCTATTATGTGCTTTTGGCAATAACTGTTTGCCCATAGTATGTGGGGCTACTGGTGGCTGCCAACGTGGCTCTATTCTAAAGCTTGTGAGACCACAATCCTGTCAACACTGAGCTGTTTGTTTATGCATATCTGAACAGTCCCACTGAATTGGCAGGGAAGAACAGGTGAGAAACAAATCTGACTATACAAAGAAGAAATGCACCTTGTTCCTTCTTCCCCTGTAACAGTCCTGGTTAATTCCTTATTTTAATCTGATTACCAGCCCACTGTACTCAGTGCAAATAAGGATTTTTAGATGGCAGTTTTCAGTATCACCAGATTCTTTCTGTAGTTGGGGTGTACTGTAAAATGTCTCCAGCACAGAGATGCCTCTTCTAGTTTCCCTTCTCTCCCCAGGGAAGTAGTTCTTCTAGTAGCTCTTTCAATCTGAACATGGGAAGAAGGCTGATCCTGCACAACTGCATCACTTATTTTAGGGGACAGGATCAAACTGTCAATCTATTGTAAGCAGCTACAGTGTGCAGATAGATGGAGATGTACAACAGTCTGTAAGGCAAAGTAACTGAGAAGTTCGATTAAACCATGGGAAGGCCCCCCCAAAAAACACACACAAAAAAGGGGTGGAGACATGCCCTACCCCTCTCCCCCCAAATAAAAGTTCTATTTGGCAACACTTACAAGCATTCACATTTTCCCTGTGATTATCAACTACTTGCAAGATGAATTCTAGCAGGAACACTCTTGGGCTGTATCTAGTCAGCAAGTCCTCATGGGGCTTTCCAGCTCCTGGGTTCAGGCAAACACGTATGTGGCGTGCCTGCCGGCATGAGGCTGCACACCCACACATGCCCCTCCAGAAAGTCACTCCACCTGAAACTGTGGAACATCTGAGCAGGTGTACCTGCCTTCCAGGTCAGACACGGCCCTCTTTTTATCAGGGTGTACTGGCACAGTAAAAGCTGGTAAAAATAGCATATTCAGTGCTGTGTACTTGGCAGCAAGAGAGGGATGAGGGCTGTAAGAATCTCGATCAGCAATATAAATGGCTTTGGCACTATGACACCGCTGCAGCCCAGTGTGCCCCCTTTTATTTATATCCTTATTTGATCAGCTACTAACCAATCATAAAATCCTGTTTAAAGTGCACAGGTAATACAAATTTGTGAGGATTTGCAGAGGTATTTCAAACAGGAATTACTCCCCCAGCCTTTTCTTTAAAAGTAGAACCCTCTACTTAACGCTGATATAATCGAATGATTTTTCTCCCCACACCTGTTATAAACGTGAGCACATAAAACTGAGCTGTTAAGACAGTACATTTTTAAACATACAGACCTGTATGATTTGTTGTCAAGTTCACTTGTCTTGCAACTATACGTTTAACTTCATCGAGGGCACTGCTCAGTTCGTGTGATCTTCTTCTATTTTCCTTTTCAGCATACAGTAGTCTTTGTCGAAGTTCCAGAAACTGGGTTTCATACGTGTCTAAGTCATTTCCTGCAGTGAGAACATAATTTCTTTTCAAAGAGGTGATTTAGATCATGGAATAAAGCTAAAGAGAAGGAGAAAGTCCAGAAGATGACATCGCCAGAAGTGTATAAACAATAATAAAGTTTATTCATGAGAAGAAGTCCAGAAGAGTGTTAAGAAGGCAGAGTTTAGGGAGCACAGCTGCATAAAGGCTTTCATTGAAGACAAAACCAAGAATAAGAAATCTACAATAAGGAAAAAGTCACTGAAAGTCTGTGAGTTGCAGGGGAAGATGCTATCTGGTAAAGCAAACAATGTTTTTCACCAAGCGACAAGTCTTGATGACCCTTTTCATGCTGGAAAGTATAATTATGTAACAGCTTGTATTTTTTACCAAACACTATTAAGACTAAAATGTGGAGATATATATATTTAATTAGATAAAAACTCTGCTCAGGCACAAAGGATACCTTCATAATATAGAGCCCACCTTTGATTAAATACTCTACAATTACATCAACATTAGAAACGCTGTACTTGGTCACAGTTATCACACACCTCTGCCGTTCTACACAGTATTCTAGGATAACACCAACGTTATGTTTAAAGAAGATCCACCTTCCCAAGAGGCAGGTGATGTCAGAACTCAGTTATCACAGATGGTATACAAGACTTTCACCTTGTGGAGCATTCACTGCCTCATTGTCATATGAACAAAGCTTGTGAGGCTTATTAAAATTAATATAACGTTACACTTCAATGATGTCACCCACTTCACAACAGAGAGTAAAGAAAGTAGAAGGGGACTCCTGATTCGTTTGAAAATGTTTTGTAATGCTGCTTCTTTTATTGGTTTGGTTGCTTGGGGTTTTTTTTAGTAAATGCTGTTATTTAGACACTTCTCCCATACTATTTGTGGACTGTGCTGAGTCCCGTCTGTGGCATGCCTCATTTTCTAGGACCCACCATTGTCTCTCTGGACAAGTGAATTCCCAGGAATTCTAGCCTGTAAAAGAAACTAAGGTCAAAACGCACAGGTAATACAAATTTGCGAGGATTTGCAGAGGCATTTCAAACTGGAATTAATTTGCATTTTCGATAAACAAGGGCTTTTATTTGCAGTAAACAGAAGTGCTTAATAATTAAATTTATGATTTGAAGACTCCGAAGTTTAAAAACATCTATGAAGAAAGTAGTTAAAAAAAATGCCCATAAAATGAATGCTTCCTAAAATTCTCTGACACTCCTAAAAATGTTTTGACTTGCAAGAAAGTCATTCTTATCTATGATTATTCAGTACTATGCAGCTATAAATGTAAAATCAGCATCGCTGAAGGAAGGGGAAAACTGGATTATTTCAGCTGCATGCAACAAGGAAGTCCTACTTTACTGAAGTCGGCTTCCCTAAAAAAACTCAGTGAATAAATTAAAAATTAAAAAATGGTCAAAAAAAGGTCAAAACAGATTCGGTGTTTGCCTTTAAACAACTTAAAATAGATTAAAATAGATTTTCAACAGAAACCTCTGATGAGGCATCAGACTACAGAGGCCCAAAGAACAAAATTATTGGAACACCTAAGAAAGATCCCTTTCATCAACTACCAAATGGGAATGCACTTTCTTATTTATGCTTTGCTTTGGTAGCTGTGTTTCCAATGCCATAATCCAAATCCAACCTTTAGCTTTTTTTCTTTAGAACGTATATGAATAAAATGATAACAGAAGGTTTAAGGTGATTTAGGTGACCGACAGATATTCATTAGACTGTTTTCATAGCAAGAAAGTGATCCCAGATAGAACATCAACACATATAAACATGGTGGAGATGTATCTTGCAATTTCAAGACTAATTCAAAGGTGTAAACTAGATATAGTAATGAGTGTGCATTTTTCTTTAATTTCCAATTGCCTTTATTAGGAGTTAGCTAATAAAAGCACCAAGAAAAAGTGGAGGCTTAACTTGCAGTAAAGTTCCACATGCTCCTGGGAAGATGCGAACAACAAAGAGCAAGCCCACAACCTTTGGATAAATACATGCTATCACAGGATGCAACTTATTGCTTCTGAAAATGGAATCGATCATTTTGTAATGGAAGTGCTTTATAATTAAATGCTGAAAAGTATTGTTCCATTGACATTTCCAGTGCTGCAGTAGCATAAGATTTTGCCAAACCAAGTTAAAATTCCCCTCAGTACAACTGCATTATAGAAGGAATCAGTAAAGAAATTATAGATGAATTATAGCATCATAGTCAGCTTCTTCACAATTCTTTCAGCTACGCATGTCAGTGTGACTCAAAACCGTGGGTATCACTATTATGCTGACATTTTGGCAAGCACCAAGCAATTATAGTTTTATTTGCATACTTACAGGTGAGCCTACCAAAATATCACAGACACCTCTGGCAAATAAAAGGCCAATACACAACTATCACTGAGTGCACCTAGAGAAGATGGTATTTGTAAATCAGCCTTATCTATTTCTTCAGGCCAGTAAATTACACTTTCGAGTCTTTCAGAATAGAAACCTCTGTTCAGTTAGGAGAGCAAGACTCTTTAGTAATCACTTATCTCACTTGATTTTGATAGCTGAGGAAGCAAGGATTTGACAAAAGCAACATAATATTCACTCACCCTTAGCAAAGGATGAATTTATTAGAAAAATATATAGTTGGAAATAGAACATGAAATGGTCTAAGTGTTACTAGAGCACATGTAAATGACCAGTACTATTACTAAACTCTTGACAAAAAATGTGTGTTTTGAAAGCAGTATGAAGCTAAATACTCTAATTATTTGAACAGTCATTAGGTTTAAATGAACTGTGTGTGTGTGTGTCTGTAAAATGTTGCTCTTTTCTACACAGAAGTAAAACAGGTGCTTGCAACAGATTGCTTAGAAAGACAAAGGGTGTTTTTACAAGTACAACTCTCTGACAGGGAGGGCCAGGGAAAAGCAGCTTTGGACATATCATGAAACACACTGTGCCCAGCAATAGCCTGATGTGGTAATGCCTTGTCTACCAACGGTTCTATCGGCAACAAGGAACGCCAGAAGAAAAGCAGAAAATAGCGAGATGAGGTTCTATGGCAAAAACACAAAAAGCAAATGAAGGTAAAGGCTTGGTGAGCTGCTAGCCATGGGAGGAAAAAAGGACCCAGCCAGCAACCAGACAACCAGTGATAGCACTCAAAGCTCTCGCAATGAATTTTTAGCTCTACGGTAGCATTTCCTCTATCAACTACACACTTTCATATATTCTTATGGCTACTGTAATGCTCAGAAAGCAACACTTAAAATGGTTTTAAATGCAATCTTGTGTCATCTCCTAATGCATCCATATATATACTTCCTGCAGGGAAATTGAAACTGTTTAGAAACAATACTAATCTCTAAAGGAAATACTTATTCTAAAAGCTGACTGATTATTTCTCTTTGCTTCACACGCACACACTTCCTCTATCATCATAAGTGCTCAGAGTTTCATTAATTATTTCTGGCAATATTTAAGAGCTGTGGAACAATTCAAAACTATCTCCTCCTAGCATTCAAAGAGAAAAGAAAATGGAAAGAAAATGGGGAGTGGCATAAAGGAGGGAAGAAAGCACTCCAAAGCCTATCAGGGAGTCTTGTTCTTATTTCTTGATTACACGCTACACGGTTTATCCTACTTAAAGACTCTTTCTTTTAGAAAATGAATTTTGGTTAATGACCTCCTTAAAAGAAAATTATATAAGCACACTAACTGTAAAACTTCATATCATACTCTATGCTTGGACTCACTGTTCACTGTTTAGGCTAATGAAGCGTATTAAACCATTGAGGTTTAATTGTACTAATCATAGCAGTTTGTTATCTCCCCGTAACTGATCTTAAATGGAGAGACCTTTCTGAACCTTGTTACACGCTTTTGCAAGCTCAGGTTTTCTTCTCTCAGAGTAAGGAAGGAAAAGAAATTCCCCAAACAATGCCTCTGTCTTGGGTTAGAACAGCCAGTTCTTAATGCAAACACTTAAATTCAACAATGTGCATTATCTTTAAATATTTTCTTTATAGCCTTACAATACTATTTATGTCTTCCAAGGCGTTAGAGACAGCCAAGAAAAACTACTATAAAGTCTGAAGCTGCTTCACCTGCACCAGGTACATTCACCCATTAGGTTTAACGTCCAGTGACATCAAAGAAAAAAACTGTGCCAGCAATTTGGGGCAAAGGGCGGGAGTTAAGGTTCCTCTGTGCCCATAAAGGGCATACTAGGAAGAGAATCAGAATGCTTTTCAGTATTTAAAAAAACACACACCTTACAAAGATAAAGGCAGATCAAAGTTTATAACTGAATTTTGAAAACACATACAATTATCTAATGAACACGGACTATCTATTGGGTTTGGCATAGAATAATTTTTACTGAACCATTTGCATGATGTATCTAATTGAAAGTAGTTTAGCAGCAAATAAAGTTCTTTTAAAGAAAATACAACTTAAGCTCTAATATTTTCCTAGATGTTTGCAAACAATCCTCATTTGAGATCCAGGTCTTTTCCTATATTAGAATGTAGTGAAAAGTGATCTTAAAACATTCAGTCAGAACATCACCATATACAAAAGCAATACTAAAAGAAGTGGAAAAATAGAGAAAATGAATGGATATTGCATGGTGTTTGGCCATAATTGGTACATTTTGGTTTTAAAATGGTACTCATTCACTTCAAGCAACGGCTATTCCTTTATTCTGGTTGATATTTTAAACATTTTTACTTCTCTGCTTGATGTAGCAACAATTAATCAATTATACACACACCTAATTAAATGCCCAGCCACTAACTGAAGTATTTCTAGATAAAATTGTGTTCCTCAAGACTCAGTGTACAACACTGGGAAAGTGCAAACACTTGTTTAAGTACAGGTTGTGATGAGACAAAGGGAGGTCTGAAATGCTCCCTTATCCCTTTTTCTATGAAAACCAATAGTAACTACCCTCATTTTGTATCACAGGATTCATGACTCAGTTGCTCTACTCTTTAGGCACTGTCCTACCCGAAGTAACTACAAGAAGCATCAGACTCTTTGTCCAGTAAACTATACATATAGAAGCCAGTAAAACTACACAGCTTCTTTAAGTCTTGGATATGAATTTTGATATAAAATTTTGGATCAAGAAATACTAAGTTTTAAGTTCCATTTGAGGCTGTTGTATGTTGGGGTTTTTTTAAATGCCTAAATGCAGAACTATGCAAAGAAACTGAGTAAGCAATTGATGGACTGCAAAAACTCTTCCCTTATCACCCTGTGCATTTCAGCCACATCCTGACTGCATGTTGGGGCAACATCTGGATGTGCAATAACCTCTGTATGCTCTCAGTGCCACTGGAAGGAAATGTACACATAAAGGGAAGATGTAGCCTACCAGTCAGCTGGGACAACTGGGAAAAATAGTAGCCTAGCAGTCCTGGAGAAGGCAGGAAAATTGGCTTCTGCACACTAATCTGGATAAGCTATGCTGGCTGAAATGAGAATGGTGTAATTCAAGACTCCTTATCAAATCTGTCAATATGCCCCTATTTAATTGAAGATTTGAGCCAGAGTGTGCCAGTTGGGTCTGGACAGGAAACCTGCAAAGAACTCCATCACAAATGACCTGCACTTGGCTGCACAGCAGGAGCAGAGGTGGGCCAGCTGAAACAAAGCATCACACCATGGGTAGAAGATTACTGGAAACAAATGTGTAATCAGTTGTTTGGGATAGCACGTGCATTACTGTATTTCAGCTGAATAAAGAACTACTTTAATCAGAAGTACCTCTTTAACATTTTGTACATCTTCCCCTAATGAAAGGTTTTGTGAAACAAAGAAAAATTTTATACGTTAAACAATTTGATAATCCTTAAATATACCTCCATGAATGCAATCATGTACGAACAGTTTTTCTCTTCTTCTCACTACCTCAAAGGAATAACTAAAGAAATTCATGTTACACAATGTTTGACTCAACATGTATGTATTAACATGCCTAGGTCCTTGTGATATCGTATTTCAGCATCACTTTCTCCTAAATTCCAGTCAAAGCTTACTTTTAATTTACTTGGATAAATTATCCCACAAATTCAGGTGAAGAGGGCAGCAACATCTTACAAGTAAACTCAAAGAGATCTAATTTTGTAACCTCTGAAAGCAACATGAAGACTCACTGTCATGTGAGATGATACGATTTACCTCATAGATGTGACTTACAAAAACTTCACTGTTATTCAGCAAAGACACCAAAGTTTCCTTTTATTCAAGAATACTGTTTCCTCTGAAGAACCTTTATGTAAGTTCGTAATCAGTTTATAATGTATTTTTGCCTTCTCCTTTACTGTTTTTCAAGTGGGGTAAAAATTCACTACCTCCTTACACTTAGATTTTTAAATGGATTAATATTTATATGGAAAGCACTACATATATTGAAGGTTCTATACTACTCCTCATAACTAAAAATCTATATGAAGAGTGTTTCTATGAGAGTAAATAATTTTTGGTCAGGTGAATTAGCAAGTAGATTGTAACACAGTTTCACAACAAGTAGGAACATCTGCACCATCCTAACAACAACCTTTTCTAGCCTCAGACACAAACTGTTTGCCTCAGACAGGTTTTGCCTGGGGAGGGACCAAAAAGCTTACAGCAAAACCATGCAGGACATGAAACAGGCATTGCTGCAACAGTCCAGTTGATTACTCTCTAATAGCAGCCTGTGTTGGCAAGCTTTCTAGAGGATGCTGAAGAAATCACCAAATAACTTTAGACATAGTCTTAGGTTTCGTTGAAAATTTGGTCACTGCCCTCGTAACTACTTTTACCTCATTTTTCTTTTCCTGGCTATAAAAATATCAGCACTTTTAATATGAAATCTCTGCTTATATTTATAAAACAATGGGAAAAAGTGACTATAAAACCATCTTTGTAAGGATAAAATACATACGATAATATCCACAATAGCTGAAGTCTAATGACATTGGTACATTCTGATTTTTCATTTTTAAGCGAATGGGTGAGGCAGGAAGCACCTTCCCTACTATGCCAGTTTGAGTTGCTCATACTTCAGTTCAGCCTCACAACTCCAAGTCAATGCTAAGGCTGCACATAATAGTCAGAAGCAGCACCAAACAGCCAATTATTTACTGCTGTTATTGACAGCAAACACATTTCAACTCAAATCTCTCAAACTACCTTAACTATAAGGTCATTGGCATTAGCTATTGATTTTTTATTTGCACAGAATTCAGGACAGAGCCAATATCTGACTTACACTTAAGGCTAAAAGGGCTGAAAGGCTCTGAGACTGTGGACAAACTGAACAACATTATACAGAGCTTTTATGTACTCTTTATACTATGGAAGTACTCAAAACCACTAGCCTTGAGCTAGGCTGTCCTATCCTAGTTGTACAACAAAGATTATTTGCTGTCCCAACGTCACTACAATCCAAGAAACCACTAACTAGATAAAAACCTGAGGGAATAGTACAGACTACTTACTGTGATAAACTGTAGTCAAAAATCAAGAGAGCCTAAACATGTCAATGGGCAAAGCAGAGAAGGAAACTGAAGAGGACATTTAACAAAGGTGGGGAAGAAAATGAGCCAGAAAACAACATTTGACAAATGAGTGAAAGAGGTGGGAGCTGACAAGTACTGTGCAGTACTTGGCCTCTCAGTAACAGGTGGGCTAAGTGAAAAGGGTATTAGAAAAGAAAACACACATCGCAGTTTGAGATGCACCAGAAGTGGGAACTGCTGTAGCACTCTAAGCCTATCAGTGGAGAGCAAGTTCAGCAGCGCAGAAGGGAAGAACAGAACTTTAACAGCATCTAAGCAGAGGTATCTGCCTTTTTTCAGAGCAAAAGATTAATTTCAAACCACCTTCTTAAACAAATACCCTGTGACAACAATAGAGCATTAGTTGGTTTGCTCCCAATGTTTTTCTCTCTGCGGAAAAAGGTAACAACATATGGCTGGCTGTTCTTGGGGTTTTCTGGATAGTTAGAAGGCTTTAGTCTTCCAACACCCCTTGGGAACAAAGTGAACAAAGTGTTTATTTCAGTGAAATAAACATAATACAAAGTCATTCACCACATGCTGTTACCTCCTCCCTTAGTTCCTAACATTAACTATTTTATTTACACATTTGTGAGATTTATCAAGCTTGAGAGAACATGTCTCTGAACACTACATATTTATATTTGTAATGGTTAAAAGTTTACTAAGAAAACAGGTGCTAATAATAACAGTAATTAGGAAAATTACACCATATGAGAGGAACTAGTTACTCAGTTTACTGTGGAGGAGGAGGCAACTGCAGAAAGAGAAAAGTTAAAACACAACACATATACACAACAACATATATTATCCCTCTTCCCCAAAATAAACAAACAAAACCCTAAACAATCAAACTAACCAAAGCAAGACAACCCAGCACTGAATGCCATCAGAGAAAGGCCAACAAGAAAGTGAAATGAAAATGTAGTGTCAGTTATCAGGAGCCATAAAACACAAGACAATACGAGAGTAGCTGCAGGTTGGACAAACGCTTTCCTTCTGACATCTCCTGGATCTTAGTTTCTTAAGACACACCCTGCTTTTAATTCATTTCTCCCCCACTCCTAGCAAGATTGCCACTGAGAAAAACATGAAGTGTTGTAAGATTAACAATCATATAGTTCATATAGGCAGGAGTACCAGCACTGCCTCGACTTTATTCAATATGCTGTTGTGGGGCCAAATTCTCTACTCCCAGTTCTCTTTGTTACAGGAACAACTAATGTAAACAAATTAACAGCTAGATGGAGTTGTGTTCATCCCAGGAATTACTAATTGGTTTATTCCAGTTCTTCTGTATCTTTAAAACCAGACCTATTGTAAAGGTGCATATAGGAAGGTGCATATAGGAAGTTCCTAAAGATTCTTTCTCTCCCTTACCCCAAACCAACCACCCCTCACCCATAACAATTCATGTCTACAGGCCTTAGATGTACTTTTTGGAGAGTTGTTTTTTTTTTTAATACTATCAGCTTCATCTTTCCTATGTTAGCTCAGTGAAACTTATAAGTGGCTTTTGGTAGATCTATCTGGCATCTGCCACCTACATAACCTATTAAAAAGACATTGTGTCATTTCAAAATTTATAGATGAAGTATAAAAATTCAGGTTTTTTTCTCTGGAACACTGCATTCTGGAATGCTGGAAACATACACGTGGAAAAGTGACTGTACGTGAGGCAAAAATACAACAGCAGAATGGATAATTCTACTATGCTCTCCATAATTAAAATGAAAAACGCTTAAAAAGCAACAGCTACAGCAATCACCTTTTAGACTTTTCCTCCCCTCTTAACGCAAGATGCTAGCTAGAAAAAGTCAGAAAAAAAGAGTTAGGGAAAAAAAAAGTTTAAAAATTAAAAGGAATCTTTTATTGTCTCCTAAATTTAGGGGTTTACTTTTAACAGGACACGTGTGACTACTCAAGGATGCAACCCTGTAACCTGTTACGCAAGCTTGCAGGTAAGGGTGCAGGTAAGCTGTGACCCGGGGGAACAGGCGACACCCGCACCCTTAACCCTACACGCCTCCAAGCCCCGGAGCCACCACGGCCGCTACCCGGCCAGCCGAGCTGAGCAAGGATGAGGGGATGAGGTTCCCCCTCCTTCCCTCCACGGGCTGCCGAGACCCGGGGGTGGATGGGGCGACCTCCCGCCCGCGGCCCCGGCGCACCAAGGCAGAGACCCCAGCGCCGCTCTGCCCCCGAGAGCGGGGCGGCAGCAGCAGGTGCCGCCACCGCCCTCCGCCCGTCCGCTCCCCGGCTCTCCCTCTCACCTCGGCTGTCCTGCCACGCCACGAACCACAGCAGGGGGAAGGCGGCGCCGAGGCACAGCGCCGTCAGGAGCTGCCCGTGCCGCAGCCGCATCTCCCGACGGGCGCTGCCCCGCACGCCCCCCGCCCCGCCGCCTCCGCCCGGGCAACGCGGGAACGGGCGTGTCCGCACTGCCCTGCCTTGCCCTGCCCGCCCCCTGCGCTTGGGGGCCCGGCCGTGCCCTGCCCCGCTGACCCGCCAGGCGGGGCCGCAGTGCCCTCCCTCCTCGCATCGGTGTCCCCCGGGCAGCGGGCGCACGTCGGGAGGGACGCCCGCTCCTCCTGCCGCCGGGCCATCCCACTGGAGACAGCGCCAATTCCCGCTGCAAAACCCTCCGCTAACATCAGCCCTCCCCGACGCTCGGACCCACACTGGAAAACCTCTTGGCTGCGGCTGTATTTCCACCGCAGAAACGCCTCAGATCAGCACTTCGGCAGGTGCTCTTTAACCCAAGTCGCAACATCGTAGTAGTTATCAGCATTTTGCTCATTTAAAGCCAATGGGCCATGTGTTTGCAAGATCGTATCAGGGAGCCGAGATGTAGTGTAGAATTAATACATGCACTTAGCACAGTCTCAGAGTCAGGAAAACAACCAAAGCTTTCCAGCTCACCTTTAAAGAAAAACTAGGGGCAAGCAGCTGCAAAATATATAACCTGATGATAGTCTAACGTCCACTGATAAAGATATTTTATTTCAGTTATCGTACTTTGCTTCCCACATGTGCCTTTCCATTATGGCAGGCACACCTCTTTTCCTTCTCAGGTCTTCATCCATAAGCAAAGAAAAAAATTAATCACTGTTACACCCTGGATCAAAGGTTGGACTTGATGATCTCTGAGGTCTCTTTCAACCCAGTTAATTTTATGATTCTATGATTCTCTATAATACAGTTCATAAAGGGAAGGGATAGCTTATTTACCAAGATTCCTGGAGCCTCTTACAGGGACACAGTTCTAGTAGAACCACCTATGTTTTAAAAGAAAAAATGCTCCTCCTTCTTATGCCTGATTAGCAGGTATTTGGCTGCTCTTGTTTTGACATATTCTCTCCCTGCTCACCAATCTACCCTCCACTGATGAAATCTACCCACCTGTGATGAAGAAAATATGATTTCTTGTTCTCTGTTGCAAACATCTAAAGGACAACTTCAGAAATCAGACTGGACTTGGCCATCTGACAAAAGCAGGAAGCTGTTTGCTATCTAATCTGCTACCTACTTCCTTAATGTATTATTAGCATATATAATTCATTGCCTTATTTACCCAAAGGATATAGTATTTTATATAATTTGGTTTTGAAAAATATATTATTAATACAATATATCTTCCCTCATTTCCTCTATTTGCTTACTGAACAATTTGATCTCACTTTATACCACACCCCAAAATCATTTGGAATAGTGTTGTGTAAAGAAATCCCAAATGCTACAACACTGGTGTCCTGACAGGCGTGCTGGAGTCCCAATGTCAGCGCTGCCTTTATGTGCCACTCTTTATACCACCAACAGTAATAACTATGTCCTTTTCAGAAACTTAATCTTAGACCCCAACAATTGTATATTGCTTCTCTGACAAGGTTAGTGTGACCTTCCTGTGTTTGAATTATGATGTAGATGGGTTTACTCCTCTGTTTACTAATTACTTTGACTTATAAGTGTTATTATTCATTAATAATGCAGGAGACTGCTAGTAGCCTGCATCAGTATACAAATGGTGAACTAAAAACCTGAGTATTGCTCCATAAATCACCATGAAGTCTCAAGTTAGACCTCACTATTCCTGGCCTGTACTCATTTTTTCTAAGCTTCCCTCTACATTCTGTTTCTGGCTGTATCTTCTCAATTTTTATTGAGGAATCTTCTTTCAGCTACACCTTGAATATGGATTTATAATTGTTCATATTAACCAAGGCAATCATGACTCAAAACTTTTCTCTGACTTCCTTTCCATCATCATTTCCCTCTCCCAGACAATAAACTAAACGCTCAAGGCACTAATTTTGATGGAGGATCAAGGCAGATTTTGAGACATTTGCAGTAAAATAGAGATTTAGAACTAAGAGGAACAAATGAAAATTAAATATGTCACAAGTAATGAATAAAATGCCTTTTAATTGACTGGTTGGTGTGGTGTTCTGTTACAAAGCCAAAGGGAACATGTAAATGATGTAGTGAAGCAGAAGGGCTCCTGAAGATAAGAACCACAGAAATCTAACCCACACTTAATTTTAGATTATTTTTTTTCAGAGAAAAAAAGCACCAAAACTATACTTCTAGAAACTAATAAGCATACACACTGTATAGGGAATGTCTGTGGAGACTGTCACTGACTGCATTAGAGGTGATTTATTAAGCCTGACTCCAGAGCAGACACAGTTAATCAGCCCTGCTGAGTTGTGGTGATCATTTACTTAATGCTGATTTCATAGACTAGCTCATTAACTTACAATGAGATAGTGCATTAAGTGTTCCTCAAAAAAAAAAAAAAAAAATCCCAAAACCTAATGACTGAAACTGTCATGAACTTCCACTGCAAGTGAGCAAGTAGGCTCCCTTACTTGCTTCATGGTTTCCTAATATCTCTCTCCTGGTGCTCTCTCCACATGCTCAAGAACTGTGTACAACTGGAATAAGACTGGCTGGGGTTTTGGGGGAGTGTTAAATGATTTAGAGCAGTTTTAGCTCCCATCAGCAGACTTTCTATATTTTTGGCAGACTGATCATCTTTAAAAATACTCTTTAGAAGAACACATTGCTGAGCAAGTGATTCAGTGGACTAGTTTCATCGAGGTGCTTTACCTGCAAGAGAGAGTTTCTAGGCTTGTCCTTGTGCTTTGTAACTGAATGTCTTTTCTTGCTCAGATGATTGTTTCACATTTCTGATACCGCTCTCACAAATCTGTGTGTAAGCAAGGGTAGAGATATGAAACATTAAAATCAATATTTGACCACCAAGCAATGGGTTCTTTTGAATGTGGGTTGCAGCTGTCCTTCATCTACAAGGGTACATGAACAAAGAATAACTACCAGTAACAATACGTAATAGTTGCTGCCATGGAAAGTTTTCTGACAGCATAGAGATCCAACTGATAGTGCTGGTTTAAGTCTCTTTTTATTTGCCCTACTGTCACATAAGAAATGTGATTTTAAAAGGTAAAATCTTACCTTTACTCACCTCTACTTCAACCAAAGACTCTGTGAAGGTAATACTGGACGGCAACTACTGAACACAAAAAGAGGAAGCTAGATTTATTTTTTTAAGCTACTGCATTATATTATATTATATTTAAATTATATTGACTGTCTCAATATAATCTATGAATTGACTGAACATGATGGTACAGGAGCATCTTGCATGATTCAAGTACTAAGAATTGTGTAAAATCAAACATGCTCGATGTTTTGAAAGTTATAAAAAGCTGTGAAAAAATGTCAAAAAAGCATGCTTTAATATTTTAAAATAAATAAATTCAGGTGATTAGAGATTTTACTTTAAAATACAAATTTAAAGTGAAGAAAGCATCACATGAGGAAAAAAACCAGTATAAGCTAGACTAAAAAACTTGCATCTTCTAAACTCTCACATTTCAGAAGTGCTTAATTTAAAGCAGGACCTTAAAAATTGTCAAGCTTAGCTCAACAAATCTAGTTATATCACAGAGAAGAGGGGTGCAATGTACAGTCAACATCAGATACTCTACATATCAGACCTGGAGACTGGAAGCAAAGAGAACTGTCTGGGAAAATAATAATCCCCTACCGTGTGTATGTATTGTTACAGTAAATAAAAACAGGAAGTGGAACAAATTCCAAAACCTGTAATAGAAGTTACTTTGGTTCTTAACAATCCACACACAAAAAAAGAAATTTCTATTTAAGTGTAAATATAATGAAAAATATTCATATTGATATCAAGCTATTTAATCCATTAAAAGATGCACTGGAAAGTGAAACCCTTGAAGCAGCAGAAAGGTTTTAGTTTGGTACACATCAGCAAAAGTGTCATCAAGCTATGTTGTTTGTGCAAACCCACGCTTTTAAGGATGCACCTGCTGGACTTTGTAAAATTCCAGCAGCTCATGCTTCTAGTGAACTATCTCCATGCAATCCACGCGTGGGCGTAAGGACTGACAGGAAATACCCGACCACCCCTAACATTTCTTCACGTTGTTACAATTCTTCTGCCTTCCCAAGTCAAACTGTAACATCCTGCTGCTGCTGCTGCTGCAGCCAGGATTCCTCTGACAACAAACTTTCATGTTTAAATACCACAGCAGCAGTGCTCTGCCAGATTATCAGATAGGAGGTATATCACAATCTTTTTTTTCCAGGATTATTTGCTTAGAGTTGTTTCACATACAAGGTAGGTGGGAGCTGTAGCTTACCCAAGTCCTGCAACACAGACAAATTTCTGTTCTCCAGTTTCTTTTATCAGCTCTTAGGCACCGGATCTTTGATATTTTTTTCAAGATATTTTACTGGGTTTTGGCTATCTTGGACCAACTTATATGCAGGTAATGCAATAGAACCATCATGTCATCCTGTCACCAAAAGTAAGAATACTTTTCAATGGAGATAAATACTTTTAAGCTTATTTTCATCCAGTGTTCCAACGCTTTGAAAGTCATATTGTTTATGTAAGAAGCTACATTGCCTCTTAACGTGCAACATGCACCACCTTTCCTCATAGTTTCTAAGAGTAAGATCTGCAAACGATTGAAGTTCATGCAGCAATGATTTCCTCACATGAAACTGCACCCCTACGAGTGTAAAAATCCAAAAAGAGGACGCTAAACATGTTGGTCCACCCTCTGAAATCCTCTGTGAGACACAGGCCACCAGACCTGCTCTGTGGCTTTTGATTTTGTGTAAAAGGTACTCCAATTTCCACACATCAAAAAAATATATCAGAATGTGGTCAAGCAAGTCTGTCAGCTCTCTTTCAACATGCCAAATTTTGCATACAATTCTGCTGAGTTCAACCCATGTTTACTGAAATAATCATTAATACAATGGCTGAACTTCCATTCAGAAAAGGCAAGGCAGGACTCTTGGCAACGCACCTCTCCTTAAAGTCATTTAGCCTAACTGTTGCAAAATGTTGAATATATAAAAATTTTCATAAGAAAAGATGTTCTTTGATGTTTGATTTTTGTATACTTTTAAGCCTAATCAACAAGAAGGAAGATTTAATCTGTGAAGCAGGGAGCAGCTAATAAGCAAGCTCCAAGTGATATTCACGAGTTAGACAAATTACTTGTTGGTAGAATTGTCTTGTTAAGATTTAGGACTGGACACGTTTCAATGGTCTCAGACCTAAGTGGAGGTTAACAAAACTTGGGAAGGATGTACCGCTAACTCCCGAGATAGGGAAGAAACTTAATAAACGCAACTCAGCAACTGTGCTGGAATCAGCTCCAACTGGGTAAAAGGTAATTCCGGCAGGGGGAGATGGGAACCACCGACTCACGGACCCCCAACCCAAGAAACCCACCCACCCACCCAAGAGAAAACAACGACTGAGCATAAGGACTAATTAGTATGAGGGGCAATCATTAACCAACAGTAGAACATTAATTATTAATAAGCGAACTGCTTATGCAACTCGTAGCCGATGAACACTAATTCCTTTGTTTGCTAAAACGAATGAACAGCGAGAAGTTTTGCTAGTCGGGGGCGCTCGATTTGTGGAATCCCACCGGGCGCCCAGGGCTGGGCTAAGCAAGCAGTGCCCCTCTGGAGTGTGTAACTATTGGGTTGTTGCGCGCCGAACCCGACTTCTGCCGACAACGGGACGGCAGCCCCGGGACGGCAGCGCTCCGCGCCCGGCGGGGCAGCGGGCGGGCGGGCGGGCGCCGGGCGAGGGAGCCGGAGCGCCCCGGGGCCGACAGGGAACCATCTTCCCCACCGGCACTTCCGCCTCGCGATCACTTCCAGGTCGGGAGGGCGGGTTCCGGCCGGGAATGCGGGGGCCGGCCGGGAGCCGCTGGGTCCCCGCCGCGCCGTGAGGGGCCCGCAGCGGCCCGGCCGCGAGGGGGCGCCGGGCTGAGGGGGCCCCGGGCAGCGGCTGCCCGGGCACGGCGCTCTCGGCCCCCCCCGCCCCGCCACACGCGGGGCTGCCGCCCGCGCAAGATGTGGGGGCGCCTCTGGGGCTTCCTGTACGACAAGTACTTTCGGTTCTGGCTGAAGTGGGTCCTGCGGCTGCTGACCGGGAAGTGCGAGCTGCAGCGCGTCCTGGGCGGCGCCGCGGCGGGGGCGCGGCGGACGCTGAGCGTAGGTAAATGGAGGGGCCGGGGCCGGGCCGGAGCTGCGGGAGCGCCGCGGGCAGCACCGAGTCGCTTAGGGTGGAAGAGACCTCCGAGCCCGAGCACTAAAACCCCACCGCCGAACCGTGTCCCCAGGCGCCACATCTGCAGCACGTCATGCAAAAATACCCCCGGGGATGGCGACTCAGCCGCTTCCCTGGGCAACCTGTCCCAGTGCCTGACAACCCCCTTTCAGTGAAGGCGTTTTCTCCTGATATCCAACCTAAGCCTGCTCTAGGGTTGGATATAACGACCTGAGGCCGTTTCCTCTCGTCCTGTCTCTTGTTCCCTGGGAGCTGGGAGGAGAGACCGGCCCTCACCTGGCCACAGTCTCCTTCCCAGGGGTTTGCAGAGGTCTCCGCTTCCCAGGTTTCTGGTCTCCAGTAGGTGGGAACCAAGGCCTGTCCCGAGTGCCCTGTGCGTCTCCTGCACTGTGTGTTCCCTCCTCCCTTCATTTTAAACGAGAATTTGAAATCAGAACGGCAGAGCTAGTTTCCTTCTCTGTTCGCTGAGGTAATTCCAGTGTCTTGCAAAAACTGAATCAGAAATCGTATCTTTTCCCCCAGGGTCTTCCCATCGCTTCGTGTATGTTTTTACTTACTAAAAAAATTCACACAGACGTAAATAAATTTTTGGGGGGTGAGGGAGGAAGAGTGATTTAACTTAGAATTCTACCTATGCAGAATTTTGATCTGAAATAGCAATGGCAATTTATGAAAGTACTTAACATTTCTGTGGTTTCACAATAGCTTGCAGAAGTGACCTTTACATTTCCTTATTATTTGGTAATAAACACAAAACAATTTCTGAAAATAGAAACACATTGAGGCATATTTTTGTTTTGACACTTTTTCAAATTTGTCTTTGTTTTGTACACTTAATTGATGTTTTAAAAAGAATCCAAGTCTATTTTCAGCATTGTAAGGGTTATTAAAAAAAACCTATGTAAATTAAGGCCTTCAGTTACCTCATAAGGTGTTCATTTTAAGATTGAGTAATTTTTTATTATATGTTTTAAAGGGATGCAAAATCTTATAATACTTATATGCTGCAAGAACACCTCTTGTCAGTTATTTAAAACACTTCAATTTAACTGTGACATCTTTTTTTTTTTTTTGTGTTGCAGAACATTCACTGGAATCATCAAAGAATAAGGTAAGAGATTCTAGGGATGAAACCTTAGTAAAACCTTATTTCAGAGAGAGATCCCTGGAAAAGAACATGTGCATTTACTTTTTGAGAGTGGAGCTCTGTAGAGGAGTAAAAGACAGAGAGGAGAGAACAGCATTTTGGGTTGTATGCTTGGGTTAGTTAAGGTTTCTCCAAAATAACCCCATGTCCCTTCAAATGTTTATTTCCATTGAAACCTCAGCTTGGTTAGCTCTGTGTCTCCTAATTCTGAAGCATTATTTCCTTGGCTGCAATTGTTTCGATTGGATTAGGAAGAACGTGTTTCAATTCAGCAGTTGAAAGCAAAAAGAACCGAGACCAAGCAACTCTCCAGCTTCTTATTTATTCTTTATGGAACTCCTGGATAAACGTTGTTTACAGTCTGAAAAAATTATCAATTATGCTTTTATGTAATTATTGCAGATCTTTTATATGCAATCTGAGCCAATTTATTGTAAACAATTGCAATGAATTGACTCTTCTCCTTTTATAGTAAATAATATATACAAGGCAGGTATACAGAAGCTGAGAAATAATAATGAATTACATGATTTCTGCATTCCTTGTGAAGTCATTTGCTGTGTTTACTTCCTAGGTTTTAAGAAATGCTGTACATGTTGAAGAAGCTGAAGTTGAGAAGTGTGTCAGAGATGTAATGAAAGAAAAGAGAATTGAACAGAGGGATACAGGGTATGTTTGGAAACCAAACCTAAGTTCTTCATGGCAGATAACTCTCACTTCTTAGCATATTCTTGCAGTTGCTTAATCTTATGCAATATTTAAGCCATTCAACACGAATGTTTACATTGAAACTAGAAAATAAAGTGTGGTTGTGTCCTCACCAGTTCTAGAAAATAAATTGTAAAGTTTTAATTGACATGGATTTGGGATTACTGCATCTCTATTTTGCAAGCCCCTTCTGTTACTCCATATTTTTAACTAATATGATTATTGCATAGATTAATTACAAGAACTGTGTAGTTGCTTAGATACATTTGAGAGAGCACAGTGATGCCTGATTAATGTTTGCATTCATTGGCATAAGTAATTAGCAAATGAGAGGGGAAAATTGTGAACAGTCAAAATTTTAAAGTTTAATGAAGTGCTTCTTTGAAAGTTTGACTTTAGGACTTACAGAATATTTAGGGGTTGGAGAAGGTACAGGGGTCAGGATGGTACATGGGGTTTTCTTGTGTCATAGCAGATTTTAGCTAAATTTTGGGGTTTTTTCCATAATTTAAGCTAAGAGATTGCAGCACAGGAATGGGCTAGAGATTTTTAAAGTATATGGGATCCATGTGGCAGTGTACTTAATTAATATGCTGTAGTCTGAAAGATAACCATTAAGCACTTCCTAATTCTAGTGTTTACATTGCATTAACATAAGAAAGGTCTTATCTGGTAGTTCAAGGTGGAATTTATGGCTAATTTGGCCTGTTTAATAGCTTCTTTATGGTGTTTTGTTATTATTTCAGGTTTAAGGCAAATCTGCATATATCCTTACTGCAGATATCAGGTTATAAAAAACTGTATTTGAATGTGGAAAACCTAAGGAAGGTCCCATATGATTCGGAAAACGAAGAACATGAGGAACAGTTAATTGAGGTGAAATAATTTTTTAAATACAAAAGCTGTTTGTTTGGGTTTCCCCTCCAAGTCCAACACCTTGAATGAACTTGTTCATACTATTCTTAGCAGCTGACCTATTTAAAGCTCTTTTCTACTTAAAAACTTCTAAGCCATTATAGAAGTAACACATTAAAATACAATTTCAAAGTAAGACAGATTAGTAAACTAGAGTTGCTTGCACTGGAATTATTTTGTGTGAAAAGACAACAACAGCAAGATGTAAGTAGCAAAACAGGTTTCTAATGGGTCACTGAATGCTACTAAAAAGATATTCAGCTTTATGCATGTGTGTAACTTTGTAAACCAGTAATTACTAAATTTAAAAAAAGTGTTTTCTTTTTACTGCATCCCAGTCAATGTCAAAGACGATTATTTAATGCTGGAAGATAAAAATTATCAGTAACGTATTTTAGGTAACAATAAATAATAGCAACCAAATAACATAATACTGCTTGGGGGTTTTTAAAATAGCTTCTGCTGTGCAAATATATTAGCATGTTATTGTCTTAGCACTTCTTAATTATCTCAGCTTGCTATGCAAGTCATGACATTGACATGTTATGGATTCACTGAGCATTTGTATTTCAGTTTATAGCTGTCCTATCACAAAATGATGCATAAATTAATTTCTAAGGCGAAACAAGTATTTGTTTCTTTAGTGTTGTTACAGTGTCTTTGTCTGTGAAGGGAAAATATCACATTTAATGTTAAATGCAGCAATTTTCGTGATTTCTGAAGTAAGCCGTTGTGGCATGACTCCAGATTGCCACTAACAGAAAAGAACAGCGTGCAGATTGTATCCTGGTCCTTGGGGAGGGGTTTCTAACATGCAGCAGCAAGTGTTCTGAATTATGTGACTTGGAATGCTGTAGCAGCTGTGTGTAACATGGAAGCATATTTGTGCAGCTCTGGAATTTGCTGATGCCTCACGAGAATCTGAAGGCCAGAATCAGCAAGCAGTGGTGTGACATCGGCTTCCAAGGCGATGATCCCAAAACAGACTTCAGGGGAATGGGTCTGCTGGGCTTAGTGAATCTGGTGTAAGTGAAAAGAAGTATCTCATTTCTTCTGTAACTAATTTTCAGTACCCATGTATTTTCTCTAATTACTATTATCTCTAATAAAAACTGAATAGAAGCAAATAGAAACCATTAGATTGTAAATAAGCCAACATTTCTAGTGACTGCACATCTGTAAACGTGGTTGGCTAAAATCAATAAGTGAGGGAAGGGGCAGAAATTTGCCCAAGACACCTTATCTTTTGTTGTCATATGATAGATTTGGTTGGTTGTAACTAACTTGCTTTAAAATTTTACAAATTATTATTGCAAAGAAAAACAGATAAGTTTTTACATATCTTTGCTAAGCTAATTTGGATTATGGTGAACTTCATATTTGACACTCAGATCACAATGATTTATTTTTTTTTACGGTATTAGTTCATGCTGAGTATAACTTAAATTTGCTGCCTTTTCCTTGGCTTTCATTTAGTGCCATTTTTCAGTACAGAGTAGTATTCAGCTTTAGTTTAGAGCTACATATTTTAATGTTGAACACAATGGTTTTTTAATATGAACTTAAACCAATGGAAGATCCTGTTTTACACTGACAGGTATTTCAGTAAGCATTACACCCACGAAGCTCGTCAGATCCTTTCTCGTTCAAATCACCCAAAGCTGGGGTAAGCCACTGTATGATTTTTTCTCTGGCTTGTTCTGTGTAAGAGCTTATGTGAAGACTGCCAAATATGTGTCCAGAAAATCAGGAGGAAAATATTTTTGTTTGTTTGTTTGTTTTTTCATTAAAGAATGAAAAAAGGGTCAAAATAGAAAAATGTAAGAAACCGAACACTGGAATAAATTTTGGGGTGGGGAACTGTGTGCAGCTTTATTTTTTTTTCAGAATGGATTTGCTGGGACAAAAATGTGGCAAAATACTGTCTTTGGTTAACACAGTGAACGTCTTTAACATCATAGTTTGCTTTATTTCTAATAGGCTTAGATTAGGTTTAGAAATTAATACTTATTTTTTGCCTTTTTACTGATTACGTGTTGGGATGGCAGAGATTATCTCTTAAGGTCCTCTTTTTTGCTAGGTTTCTGTACTGTAATAAGTATATACAAATGTTTTGTTCACCTTTAACTTTGTTTTTGAAAACTTAGCCTATTTAAACATTTAGCTAATTTTACATGTAAATTTACTTTCAGACCAGTCAGATAAAATAATCTGATCCATCTAGTCCCTGGTTAACTCAGTGACCTACCAAGAACAGGAGTCCTTCATGACTGTAAATAGTATTACCCTGTGCAATAGGATAGGATATCTTGAGACTTTTTGCTCAATGGAGCCCCTGGTGGTCTAGGGGGTAAAGGCGCCGCGCTATCACCGCGGAGACCCGGGTTCGATTCCCGGTCAGGGCCACTCCCGGGCAGGTGGGGCTCGTTAGCCCTTAAAGGCAACCCACCTACGTCCTAAGGACCTCACTGCCACCGTCCAAGCTCGCTTGGCCCCGGCAGATGACCCTTAGGATTAAAGGGTGGGCTCAGTTCCGCGCACACTGTGTCTCACCTAAAAAATCCAATGCGCAGGCTGGAAGGTGGAAAGACCTTCCCCGGATCTTCGCTCGCGAAGACTGGCCATTATTATTATTATTATTTTGCTCAATGAAATAACCATACAATTTACACAAATGAACTCATTTTTATTTTTCCTTCCTCCAAAACCACTTTAACTGTTCTTTAAGAATTTCTGTTATGTTTTCTCTACCACGCAACAAAAAACCAGATGTTTTTTCAGCTTGAAGAGCAAGTTGCAACAGCCATTCCATTTGTACTGTAACTACATTTTTTACATGCAATTTTTAATATCCCAGCAGATCTAAGGATTTCAAATGAGCAAGTTGAGGTCAACGCTGATGGCCTTACCATCTCAATACTGCCCAAAAATTGACTCTTGCAGGTATCCTAAAGCAGACTGTTTCAGGGGAGCTTTTAAGTCTACCAATGCATAAGGTAAAACGAGCCCCATGATTTCTGTTGCAGATACTCCTATGCAATAGTTGGGATCAATCTGACAGAAATGGCATACAGCTTGCTCAAGAACGGTGCTTTAAAGTCTCATCTGTACAACGTGGTCGCTGGATTGCCGCAGATGGAGCACTTCCATCAGTTTTACTGTAAGTATCCGCAGCTCCTTTAGTACAGACTACCAAGGGGAGGCCTACAACGTGGAGTTTAGGGGTTTTGGAGTGCATTTCCACCCTTTTCCCATTAGCCAGAGCAAGCTGTGTGTCTTCTTATTCTTGCATTGGTATTGAAAATGCACCTGATACTTAAACATTGTACTGTGGAAATGTACATTTAAGGGATAATTTGTGTGGCTTTTTATATATTAAAGACTACAGTCCAAAACCTCAATATTTGCAGATATAATTTTTTTATTTATTATTACAGCATCCAAAAGCTTGCTGTAGCTCAGGATGGGACAGTCCTTGTTTTAAGAGATTGAAGAATATCTAAGGGATCATTCCTAGGACTAGCTAGATCAAGGCAGGAAATTGTGGAGGTAATTTTTGCAGGTCTGTATTTTATTTTCTTCACAGGTTATCTAGTTTATGAGTTTGACAAGTTCTGGTTTGAAGAAGAACCAGAAAGCATTATGCACTTCAACCAATACAGAGAGAAATTCCATGAAAAAGTTAAGGGACTTCTACTGGATTGCAACGTGATACTCACCTTACAAAATACAACAAAACCGTAACTCCTCTGCAGAACATGACATTCTGCATCAAAAATTGAATGATGCATTTGGATTGAAGTCTTGTGTGTTTCACCAAAAACTGTTTAACAATAGAATTTTTTTTTACATTTAAAAAAAAAAAATTAGCAAAATTCAGTTAAGAAAGCTTGTACAATCAACGTCTGTTTACAGGTATTTATATGCTATTCTCCAAAGGGCAACTTTTTAAGAAGAAAGTTAAACAAAAACCAGCCAACAAACCAACACAGAAAACAACCCACAAATCTCAAGAGCCTCTGGATCGCTTGCTTTCACATTTTGTTTTTTTTATTTCTTGATGCAGGAACATGAAGCAGGTATTTAAGCTGCATCACGTTTTCTATGAATAGGTTTCACAGTTAACTGTCTTTTAAAAGATATTTTAAGTTCAACTTTTCAACTTAGAACTTTAATTCCAACTTCTTAACGTAATAAGTTGGAGTTCAGTTTGATTTTTAGATGAAATTACCCTGGTTTTAGACTTCTTGTGTTCTTGTTCCATTACATGTCATTGTCATTCACTTGTCAATGTTAAATTTCTCTGTAATTAAGAGGTCCACGGAGGGGATGTATTAGTCATTTATAATTTTGGAGAAGAGGCTTAATCCATCACCATACTGATGTACTTCCTGGAAGTTACTTCTGGCTAAGGAAGTTTTTTATCTGTGGATTTGTACCAGCCGATTCCTGTGCTTGGAAGAAGTTTAGTTTGCAAAACAAACAAAAAGAACCACAAGTCATCAGCATGAGGATAAGATTCTCAGGCTAAAGCTACTCTTTCTAAAAGTATTCCTACTGTAAAAATTTTTGATTCTTTATAATCTGACTTCAGACACTCAGGATGATTGTATCTGTTGTCAGCCCTTTCTTCTAGCAGCTAATGGGGTGTTCTTAGTGGGAAGTACAAGAGATCTAGTTTAGCCCTTTTATAAATTTTAAAGAAAAACCTTTATTGCAGCTGCAGTTCTTATTTTGTGAAATTAAATTCACATCTGAGTACTAGCCTCTAACAAAGATGTGTTTTCCATGGAAGGGATGCAACTTTGGTGTGTTCCTTAACCTTGCCGTCCTCAGACAATCTAGTCAATAGGACTTCATGTCTATATTGTGACTAATTATTGCTTAGAGCAACTTTAAATGGATTTGGCATGACCATCACTTCATTTTCTAAGAACTACTCTTTAATAAGTGCCTTCTGCTTTTTTCAATCAGTCTTTTATTTTGATTCTGTAACCAGATCACAGCCTTAGAAACTTGATTTATTTGAGAAAAAGTCTTTCACCACGTACCTAAATAGCTCACAGTGGCACAAAATTTGTATGCTAATACAAGCTTTCATGACTTTATTTTTTTTTTAAATCATCTCAGGTAAACTAGTTCTAGTCAATGACTAGTCATGAAGAGATTCCTGAAGAATACAAGCATTGAACACGAGAAGGGAAGAAAAAAAAAAAAGAGACATATCCCTTTTTCTAATGAGTATTGTTACACTACATAAGTATGAAATATATTATAATATGTAGTACTGCATCTCTTGGAGATCATCAAAACCCAGTTGGATATGGCCCTAAGCAGCCTGTTCTGAGGGACCCTGCTTTGGGCAGGAGATTGGACTTGAGTGATCTCCTGAGGGTGCCTTCCCACCTCAGCAATTCTGTGAGTTTGTGTTGTGTAACTAGTGACTTGTTGCACTGCCTCCACCCATATGCTCTTGATCCCTTAAATGTTGGTCATCTCTTGCCTGTGGGAAAGCTCCTGGATCAGGGTAGACAGTACATGTGTAGGAGGTAACACAGTTCTGTTTTCTTTTTATGGTACTTTAGGTGTAGATGAGAGTGGAGAGTGGCTTCATCTCACCTGTGTTGGGTTGGATGCTGTTCCACTTAAAAAAAAAAAAAGGAAAAGCACTGTGAAGATGCTCATAGGGAGAGTATTTACGGTTATGCCCTGGCTTGCAAACCGAACAGTTAAACTGACCAGATTAGATACAGAATTGACCATGGGAAGCCCAGTTCTTTTGCTACTTCCAGGTACTTGGATCCTGTAATTCTCACCACTGAAAAACTGGGATCCTGTGGAGAGCGTTCTGCGATTCAGGTCCTGCAGTGAAGCTCTGTTCCTCTGACCCTTGCAGACATTGGACATGCCTAAAATCTGAGGAAGGAAGTGGAAAGTGGACTCCTTCCAAGTATGCTTTTCTAACCTCAGCTTCTGTGAAGTTTGTCTTCATTAATAACTTCTGCCACTGCTTGTAGATCTCCTTTGCAAGCAACACGAGACTGAGTTTCAATTTCAGAAGTGACCCCACTATGTTTAGCAGCAGCAGGAAAGCAGATCCTATTCTTTATTTTCATGTGCTGCTTTCCAGCTAGTAACAAAATTGCTTGAGCCATCTCTAAACACTCCCCCGGAGCTAGGTTTGCAAGTTCTATTTTTTTTTTGGCAACAGTTGTAAAAATAATGTACACCCTTGTCTGTCCAGCACTGAAACTTTAACTGGGCTCCTTGTTCGCTGGGAGACTGACATTTAACTCTTGCCGAGGCTTCTAAAGCCCAAGCATCAAGTTTCAGATTTCCTATCATACAGCTGAGATGTTTTAGTGTAGAATGTAGATAGAGTTTAGTGTGAGATGCATCTCTGTTAGCTTTTTTTTTTCTTTTTAAAATCAATGAGTGACCTGGGACTAAACTGTGGCAGTATACAAGGGGAAAAAGTAAACCCAGCCATCATCAGTGAGTGAGACATATGGGAATACATTAGTTTGCGTGTAGTAATTAGGGTACTCCCGGGCAGGTGGGGCTCGTTAGCCCTTAAAGGCAACCCACCTACGTCCTAAGGACCTCGCTGCCACCGTCCAAGCTCGCTTGGCCCTGGCAGATGAACCTTAGGATTAAAGGGTGGGCTCAGTTCCGCGCACACTGTGTCTCACCTAAAAAATCCAATGCGCAGGCTGGAAGGTGAAAAGACCTTCCCCGGATCTTCGCTCGCGAAGACTGGCCATTATATTATTATTATATAGTAATTAGGGTGAATGTGTTAGGCTCCAGTACACCTTCCCCGTAAAGAGTTAGAATTTGCATGCCCAGTAATTCTGTCTAGGAGTCACTCACTAGATGTAGACTAGTACTGGGTGTCCCTGTTTGCACCAGTGGTAGGCTAATTGTATTATGGTGGTAGGTAGAAGATACAGGGGAAAAGGTAAAATTGTGTTTAGGGAAGGGAAGAATGATGCTTTACTAGTCAGCACTAATTTATGCTAACTCTGTAGTAGGGTGACAGTCCTGAGGTTATGGAAGATTGGAAATGGAGGCAGGCCACCTTTACGCAAGGTTGATATAATCAATTTGTTCAGCATCAGAATTTGTTGCTCACAGGTTATTCTGAGAACCTCAAAAACTTGCTAAATTGTCTTATTATTTTTCAACTGTCACGCTTTAAAGTACAAACTGTCTTTAGAATTCGGAAGTGCTGTTGGTTTTCTAACTTGCTGCCTCTTTAAAGCATTCACGATGTGAGAGATTGTATGCAAATTTAAGAAAAAAATTCTAAAACTTAAGACAGGGTGGTTCTCTAAATCTTTTGTTGTTCCTGTAGCAACTGTTTAACAAACTACCTCCACTTTTGTTGTTCAAAATGGTTGTATGCTTGAAACGTGGTGCCACTCTGAACAAAATAATCTGAAGATAAGTAGTTTACCACAAGCAAAAGTAAAATCTAGTCTTTCACTAAGTAAACACCTTGCTTCATAAGTAACCAACTTGACTGGAAAGTGATCTGAAGACAGTGCTACTTAGGAGGAAAGAAAATGAGAATGTTTTTAAACTGGTTGTGCTTCTGTCATCTGATACAGCCATGTAAAGGATAGGCCATTTTGTCCTAAAGAATAATTGGAAAAGGGGCCAATTTAAACACCTCAGATAAACATTTTTGGGTTTTCACTCTTTGAAAAACAAAACCAAAAACATGCAAACATCGATTAGACACACACAAAGCCCCAAGCAGTGGTTTTCCAGACTTTCCATCCCACTTTAAATAAAATTTTATGAAAAAATTACTTAGCCTTGTTTTAGGTATTATCATAATGAAAAAGTTTTGTATTTAGTTAGGTGGGCAGTCAGTATTCTTGAAAATACTGCTAGTGAACGCGTGGCGAAGATGTAACCTGTGATTTCTTTCTGTCATACTTGTTTTTGTGTTGCTGTAGTACAATGTTGACCAATTTTTGGACTGATGTTTCATGTACCAGTCTAGATACTGTCTTTCTTTCTCTAGGGAATTAAAAACAACCCAGCCCAAGACAGCTTGTGGGTAGTTTCTTCTTATCACACTGTGCTTAGATAGCTGCATACTAATAGGAATCCCTGTTTACCATGATACAAAAGCAATAATGTAAACTGTGATGTCTGTGTAATAGAGATGTTTACAATGGTAGCAAATAAAGAACAGGTTATTCCAAAATATTGTCAGCATTAGTGTGTTTGGCCTGCTAGAAAATGTAAGAGTTTTCACTTAACTGTGCTCTCTGTTCATGCACCTGCACTGGAATGTGAAGGTTTTTTCCTAGCTTTTTTTCTTTCCCTCCTCTCTCCACTCCCCTCAAGCTCCAAGAACTTGTTTAGAGGTCTCTGGTTCTTGTACGGGGCTTGCATTTGTGCCTAGGAAAGTAGGCACTGTTAGGAAATAATACTGCAGCACCAACTTTTGAAATGGTGGGCAGCACAACATCTGTGTGCATGCTGGCTCACACACCCCTCCTAGTTTTTAGATCAGCATCCCAGATACACACCTTACATCAAACACAAGAAGAAAGGAGTAAGATTTAAATCTGACTGTGAGATCTACACAGAAAGTGTTTGGTTTAGCCTCTCAAGATCAGTCTGATACCACAGACAAACACGCTTGCACGCAAGTCCACTTGGTATCTTACATCTAAGAGGAAATCCTGCAGTGGGAAAGTCTTGAGTTTGACACATCTTACGGATTTGGGACTATTACAGCCTGGAACAGTCCCTCACTCCCTATTACCCTGAATGCAGTCTCACCTACAGTGCATTGCTGCACAGACCATCAGCATTCCTGGGAGGTCAGAGGAGATGCTTCCTGCTTGGCTTAGCAGAGAGGCTTCCCAGCCCTCAGCTCCCTTTGTTCTATACCCGAGTGGAAAGGTGGCAGCATCCCTTCAGTCACATTGTTTTGGTCCAGGCCACAGAAAGCAGACCTCACTTCCTTCTCAACCACCACAAACAAATGGCATAGTGAGGTGGAAGGAGACAGAGTTTCTTCAGCTGGAGTGCCACATTACTCTCCAGGGATGGAGCCAAGTTTTGATTTTGGAACGTAAGAGAAAATTACACAGATAGCTGCTGCAAGTGGTAGAGGTTTATTACTGCTTTTTTTTTTCCCAGTTCCTTTTTAAATCCTTACTTGAAAAGCTCTGTTTTAGGCTTTAAAAGAAAACCAAAAACCAAACCAACACACACAAAAAAACCCAAAAACCTCACAAGAGCAATTTTGTTTGAAGGACCTAGATGTTAACTCTCAGAGACAACTTGAAAGGTGGTTATATTCAGGGAAGCAAAACTCCAAGAACAAAATTTGCAAGCTGGAGAACAACTCTGGAGAACATTTTTGGAGAAAGGAGAAACCCTCAAAACCCTCCTCATATGTTGTTTTTTTTTTTTTTTTGAACCTCTGTGTGCGCTGTTTTATTACAGTTCATTTGTATCTCTCAAGCAGCCTTTGTTTCTGCTTCTGAATTTTGGAGACCAAATGCTTCTAGTAATGTACCAAAGTGCCATTACATGAGAACTGCCAGATCTCACCTGTAGCAATTTTTTATTTCTACAGAAGCACAGAACAGGCACTGCACTACAGAAACATCCCAGTCCTACAAACCCCAAATGTCAGGTTGGTCAGTTATGCAAATGGAACGAGGAAACAGTTATTCAGGAGATTTAAACTGAGATACTGAGTACTATGAAAAGAACCAGAATTAAACTATTTTCTGAAGTGAGGTGCCTTGAGATGTTATCTGCCACCATTTATCAGGAGCATCTTGCACAGCAGTTAAGACTAACTTCCTGTATTTCACCCCTTGCATTCCCAGGTCTAAGTCATGCTTGCACAGCAGTGCTGCCATATCAGCCTGTTGCAGTTTTCTATTATTAGCCATTTCCCACTGCCACATTTTTGTTCTTACTATGTGCTCTCAGGCTGCCTTCTGGTTTTGCTATTGAATAAATCAGCATTTTAAATTGTGCTGGTTTTGGCTGGGGTAGAGTTAATTTTCTTCGCAGTGGCTGCTATGGGGCTGTGTTTTGGATCTGTGCTACAGGGTTGATAATATAGAAATGTTTTTGTTATTGCTGAGCAGGGCTCACACAGAGCCAAGGCCCTTTCTGCTTTTCACTCTGCCACACTGGTGAGGAAGTCAGGGGTGCAGGGATGGCTGGGAGGAGACACAGCTGGGACAGGTGACCCAACTGACCAAAGGGATATTCCAGATCATATGACATCATGCTCAGTATATAACGTGGGGGGAAGAAGAAGGAAGGGAGGGACCTTTAGAGTTAAGGTGCTCATCTTCCCAAATAACCTTTACATTTAATGGGGGCCTGCTCTCCTGGAGATGGTTGAACACCTGCCTGCCCATGGGAAGCAGTGAATTAATTCCTTGTTTTGCTTTGCTTGTGTGCATGGCTTTTGCTTTCCCTATTAAACTGTTTATCTCCACCTATGAGCTTCCTGGCTTTTACCCTTCTGATTCTCTCCCCCGTCCCACTGGTGAGGGACTGAGTGAGCGGCTGTGTGGGGCTTGGTGGCTGCCTTGGGTTGAACCACGACATTAGAAGTCTCAATTGCCACTTGAACTAAGTAACACTTGACTCAAGACTAGTGGAAAGAAACAGAAATAGCAGAAATAGCAGAGGATAAGGCTCAGTAATAGACACAATTGCTTCACTTTCATTCTCACTATAATATGTCTGCATGTACCTAATCTGGTGAGCTCTTGTCACAGACCAGCTTCTTCCACAGCACCAGGTGTTGACATCAGGATTCAAAAGAAAGGCCCCAGACACTGGAACCTCATACTCTAGCTAACCAAAAGGCCAGGATACTACAGCATGCTCTGCCATAGGCTGAACTAACCCACCAACTGATACACAATTCCTCAGTATTTTCTCATTTTTTCCAGATATTTTACTCTAAGCCCAACTAGCCCATGTTTGTTACGAAAGCGGATACAACAGCATCAACTATTTTTTACTGTTAAATACTTAATTTCTGATAAAAGGCATCTTCTACCAGCATACCTTGTTATTACTGAATTACCAGTACCTGGAACAGACCAGGCATCATGGTTGTCATTCACAGGGATGCCACAAGTTTGCAGAATAACAGCACTGGAACTCACCAAGGCACGTACAACCCAAATTGGCAGGGACTTGGTGAGCCATGTTCCCTACCTGTTATACACTGGGACAGCCTCAGGTGCCTCCCCTAACCTACTGCTCTCCCATTTAGGAAGGTTGTAGGTTTACAGTGCTTATGCACCAGCTTCAGTTTGTTGCTCTGTGCATTCCCATGGAATTGAAACTCTTCCCAGCAGTTTCTTGTTGGTTACTGTATTGCACCTACTGTTGACATCCAAGTTCCACTTTTTCAGTATGATGCTACAAGATTACAGATTAGTAATGCCCTCTGACAGGAGGAATGCAGAGGCTTACAGAGTACCCAGCAGAGGAACCAGACCTGGCTGCAAAACCTTCCATGCAAAAGCACCGTCTCTTTGCTTGTCCAACTGCTTTAATGACATTGCCTTTCTCTGCCACAGTCCCTTACATGTCACACCATATATACCACACCAGCCTCTGCCATCCAAAGTTATGACACAACACCTGACATCTATTATAAAAGAAGCCCCAGCATCACTGTATAAGAACTCATGAAGTGCTTTTCTCTTTACAACAGATTTGATGTTAATTTTTTGCTAAGTTTAATACATCACATAATGAACTTTCTGTCTGCGTAACAACGTGCATAACAACAAACCTTTACAAGTCCCAAAAACAACCCTCAGCCCCAACACCTAGAATTCAAGAGCTGTAAGATGCTACAACGAAGGAAACAAATGCCACAGAACTTCCATGTGTTATCAGCATTGACTAAGCTGGAAGACAGACTGGAAGAAAATTTGAGAAGAATATTTCCTTATGGTTTTGTTTGTTTGTTTGGTTTTGTTTGGGTTTTTTTTAATACAGAAAGCTCTATTAAATAGCAGCCCCAACTGAACTCTATGTTCACAGGTTAAAGAGACTATCTCCAAGCACAGGAAGCACAAGGCATAGGTACTTGTAAAAAACCATACTCACTTTCTGTGTAGGACACCTGCACATACAGATTAGACTTTCAAAATACTCACATTCTCTCACAGGTTTCACATCACTGTACGCTGGTCAGTCGAACTCTTCTGTAGCTTTCCACTCACCAGCTCCCAGTCAGCTACTAAAGAACAGGTCACAGCAGATGATGTCATCAAGTAGGCATCTGCCCTGTGGCTGTTTGCTGTCGGTCCTGATCAGGTGAGCAGCCTCATCCAAAAGAACCTGGAGAAAATCAGCTCACCTGGCTGCTACCTACAGCACAGCCAGTCTTAAAGATGACCTGGCTCACACTTAGGAGCTTTGCTGACATGATCATGAAGGTAAGGAAGGCTACTAGAGCAGAAGTTGCCTTGTAAAATGGCTCTTGTTACACCAGGAATCCACTTGTGGATGCCTCTTCTTGTTAACAGGAGTCATAACAGCAAATTAATTCTCATGGTACGTTGCATCCCCTGCCCTGCGGGTGGGGTGTGGAACAAAGCTGACAAAGCCGCCTGAGAAGAAGAAAGGTTTTTGAGCTTTCGCTTGTGTGTCTCTAGGGGTGTGTGGAAGGTTGCTGGTAGGCTTAAGTTCACTTTACCATAACAGAGACCTAAAAGAGAAATAACTTCAGGGATCTGCAAAGCTAAAAAGGTCAGTAGCCCACTTCAGGATGTTAACTCTTAGTGCTGAAGACTTCCATTATAGCTTATTCAGCTGCCAGGCACTACAATAAAGCACCCCACTCTGGCTTTGGCATCTTAAGTTAAAACAAAGCCACAGTCTTCAAAATGGTAATTAGGGCTTCAAATCAATGTCACTGTTTGAACTAATATCATTATTTGATACACATGTAAACTAATCCACAGTCTCACACACAGACTATAGTGCTTTTTCATACTGCTACATGTCCGCATACTTGAATTTATCTGTGTAATAAAGCACAACCACCTGCTTTTCCCTCTAGCATGACTTTAAGAGTTAAAAATCAAATCTGTGCAGAGTGTACTTTATTTGTTCACATTACCTATTTGTGGTTAAAAACCACTTCATCTGACAGTTTAAAAGCATTCTTTTAAAACAAAGGAATTAAAC